TTTTTTGTAATTGAGTAATACAATGTTTTAAGAAATAATAGATAAATTGTTCTGTACAGGAACGTTAATCAAAATGATGAGTTGGATCTGTTACTGGTGTAATGATAACAGCTGTTTTTAGGTATATAGTATATGATTTGGAGAAATGTTCTGTTCTGTTTTAATACTACCACATATACCATTTAATACTTCCGTGGAATGATACAAATGTCAATAGTTTCTTTTGTTTGTTTTTTTTGTTGTTTTTATTTGTAATGTGTTATTTTTTTTAATTTTTAGTTGGCTGAGACCGCATTTCCGGCAAACTTTTACCTAAAGGAAGTTAGGTTGACGAGAGAATACATCTCATCCTCGCAACAGATGAGCAATTGGATTTGTAAACACAAGCCCGGCGATGGTATCTTGACAGAACATTTAAGGTAACAAAAGTTTTTTTTTTAAGTTGTGCTTTAGTGATTATTTTTTTCCTCCACTTTATTTATATATTATTACATATAATTCATTTTTCAGGCAATCAAGTGAGGATTAAAGAACCAACAAAAGGTTGAAAAAGCCATTTGGAAAGCTATGAGGCATGTTTTCCTTACCATACTTATGAAGGGATGCTCATTCCATTGGGGCCCGGCTTTTTGGCGTCGTATACAGGTATAAAATACAGGTATAAATTTTTTTCTTTGTTATTTATCCTGCTAAAATTGTTTCCTGTTTTATAATTATGAGTGGTTTTGATTTAGAAGTTAACCATTATATAATGTATATATTTCATTAAGTGATATATGAATTCTATATCCGATAATTATCTATATCTTATTGAAAAGCATATTGTTTTAAAAAGTACATCTTCTTGTAATATATGTTCAAATCATTTGTTTATATTTGAAGGGACTTGGGTTGTCCACAAAATATATGCATAACCACGGAACATATTCTCTACAAGGCATGATTTCCTACCCGCGGAACACATCATCAAAGTGTTTGATAAGATGGAAGACTTCAATACATCGGAGCGTATTAAGCCTCTATTCCAATACATCAGAAGAACGTGGTTTGAATCATCAACATGGACAGTACAAAACTGAAACGTATTTTAACAGTCAGTCCAAACAAACAACAATTCTGAAGTTAAGTTTAATATTGCATGTATAATGATATATTTTAGTAAAAATGTAAAAATAAGCGATATTGAAACATTCAACCCATGCGCAGAATAGCAGTTATTAATGTAGCAGCTAATTATTTTGTTATGTAACATTTCATTCCATTTTAATATCTAAGGGTCTGCATGTTGTTTTTAGTATTATAACTTCGCTAGAAACATCTATTATTTTGTACATTTGCAGGATGGCATTGTGGTCTGAATATTAAAGCTGGAGTGGAGCCACCTTTCTACAATTTAATGAATTTGTTATACATTGTGGAATCTCAAGTGTGGCTTGTATCAGAGATGAAGCTGTGGCGCATGCAACGATCAACCGATCAATGCAGTCGCAGATAAACTAAACTTGGGACAGGTAAATACAATTTTTCATTTTTTTGTGTCTAATACTTAAAATGACGTAACAACCATTTTTTTTCCCCCCTGTTAAGTTGAATTTCATTAGCAATATATTTGAACACAGGCTAGTACAATGATGACTGACTGATAATTGATCATGTATGTGTGATACAATATAAATATGATTCATATTAATTTCTAATTTGTATAATATCATTTAAATGAAAATTCATCTATATTATAATTGTTGAGTCTTTCATACTTCTATTAACTTTTCTGCTTGCAGCTATCGTGAGAAACAACTATACACAACAGCACTGTCAAAAATGATTTCGAGCTTATGCCAACCAAGGGTGTTGAGAAAAGAAGCAGAGTAATAGTGTTAAGAAGTGGCAGTCATCAATTATGTGTGAAAAACTACTCATATGCTTTATATACAATAGTTATACTATGTTTCATATGTTAAAAGTACATGGAAGATCAAAGTTTAAATTGTTTTACTCTGACAATAAATAGATTGATTATTACATGTTTTGTTCTTGTTTTCTTTGTAAACCACGGTTTGTCATTGGGTCTGCCCTTCCATGCAAATGTTTTTTTATCAATATACATGCAACATTTAAAAAATAATGAACATGAAAAATTAATAACGAAAAAAAAAAAAAAAAAAAATGGGGCTGATCTGACTTGAGGCCGATTTGACTCTTTTGGGGGCCGATCTGACTTGGGGCCGATTTGACTCTAATTCACCAGTATGAATAGGAAAAGGCAAAGAATCAACAGGTCTATCTCACAGATTATGTTGTCTCAGACAAATAGTAGAACATTGCATATCAAGACATATCGTATTCTCCCCTCTACTCCCCTGGTTTTTTTCCCCCTGATTTATTTCTTTGATATATAAAAAAAATTTAGCAGTTAAAATTGCATAATTTAAATTATTTTAGATATTATTTAAATGGAATGTTACATCAGGAAAATGTGGAATTGAAAGTAAATTATACCATGAATGTATCATGGAAATGTAATTTCTGTATAATGTGGATATCGTGGATAATAATTATTTTCATTATTTAGTGCCTGAATATTTGTTGTTGTTGAAAACAAGTGGTATGAATAGTTGGTTTTATTCAGTGCTGACATTTTTCACTCATGTCTATTACTAAAGTTTTTATATTATATGGAATACATATGTGCAAGCTTAAATGAAGAATAAAAGGTATCAAAAGGACTGTTTTATTTTTTTGGCTTTGTAATTATTCAGTCTTAAAAAAATGTGATTTTTTTAGGCAATCACATTGCTTCCACTTACAATGGTCTTGCAAATTAATTATTAATACCATAGCAACCTTGAGATCTTATATGATTGTAAAATTATTTTAATGGGACATCGAACACATAATTAATCGTAACTAAATAGACAGATAATTACATTTTCATTTCTCACAATGTTTGATCTTTTTAAACTATTTATAATACTGTAAGCTTGTATCGTCGCTTTTCATTAGATAATATTGATGTTTATATATCCATGTAGCTTTATATACACAGCTGTTGTCAATTTATGAAGAAATCTCACTTTTTTTTTAAAAAAGGAAGTTTGCAATATTATAAATTCGTTATAAATATTTCTGACAGGTTATATGTTCATATATATGGTTGATTCCAATATAACCTGAGCATAGCGGCTTGGGTTATATTTACAAACAATGATTTATAAAGGGCCATAATTATAACCAGTCAAAATTTTTTATAAATAATAATATCTATTGCTTTATAACAAAGTAAATAATAAATAATAATATCTATTGCTTTATAACAAAGTAAATTTTATAAAACCAGTAAGTTTTTTTTCTAACTAAAATAATATCAATCTAGCTACTGTCACATAAAAATTATTTCATCATAAATGATGCTTTTGACCAAATAACTAACAATTATTGATTGTTCCAAAAAAAAATTTGTTCATCATATCTGAACTAACAATTAATTCTTATATTTAATGCTATATAGATTTATCAATATTGAAAGTTCCAAAAGTATTATTTGTAAAGATATTAACCTAATTTACATTTCATGTAAATAAAAGGAGGTAATTTTAACACAATAAATCTATATAGCATTAAATATAAGAATTAATTTTAACACAATAAATCTATACAGCATTAAATAACATTAATAAGTTTAACAATCATGTTTCCAATACAATTCACCAATTTTCTCGGAATTTACATCCCTACACATGGTTACAAGACACCATATCACATGGTTCTCCCCAATGTACATGTATGTGGAATGATTTAACCCATTACCCCATGAGCATTTTGTGAAAAATGGCTGTTTTCATTGAAAAGTCTCCCGTTACAAGTTCAAGTTGCTATAAAACTATAAAAACTGCTTCAATACTAATCAAACTTGGCACAAATGTTGACTGGAACATTGCCTTTGTAACAACATGCTCAGTCTGAAATTTCCTGTTACCATGGCAACTAGGGGACATCTCAAAATTGCCAAAAATCACTATTTTGCGTTGATTTTTTCCATTAAAATTGATTTCAAAGTGCTGCCAGTTCTCAATGGATTGAGATAGAGTCAAAGGCTTTTCAGTATTGGTTACACGTTACCTTATGGTCGACCTGGGGCCATTTTTAGCCTCCCACAAGTCCAAAATTTTCTTGGCGATGAGGGGGACTCCGCCCCCCTTCAAACCCCCCAAACAGAAGGGGGCACATCCCCCTTCTGGCAACCCCCTGATGTATCTTTTGGATGGGGGGCCGCGCCGAAAAACTGGTCAATTTTTTAAACAACATTTCTCAAACAAAAACAAGTGTTTGGGGGCCTAAATAAGGCATTTTTTCACCATTTGAGAACGCAAAAAGGGGGGGGGGTGAAAAAGGCGTAGAAAGGCGTATATATCTGGTAATGGGTTAAAATATATTTTTTTTGTAATTGTACATAATTTTGCAAATATTTCAATTCCTTTCTTTTACACTTTACATTATTACATTATAATTGTGTTATAAATGATTATTTACATTGACACAATCTGGACAAGGAGCCAGGGCTACGTTTCATAGAAAGTCCTATGTGTATCCTAAGACCTAGGACTTATGACAAACACCAACTAAACCTTTTTCAATAAACATTTTCATCTTTAGTAAAAGTTTAAGACTTCGAATTAATTCGTTATCCTGAGAGACGTTACATAATACAATGGCATGCGCTTCAATCTGCAATGTGTAAATGTGAAATCTGCATGGCTATTCAAAAATTGAGAAGTCTCAACATAGCAGTCACAAGTTCGGACATTTTCTTTGAAACAAAAAATGTCTCATTTTTTGTTTATTTTTTATGGTTTTATATCATAAATATGATGCTCAAATAAAGTTTTATCAATATCGTAAGTTCCAAAAAGCATTATTTGTAAAGATATTACTGAAATTGACATTTCACATAAATAAAGGGAGGTAATTAGAAATTTATTTTCGATAAAGTCTATGCCAAATTTTTCAATAAGAAATGAATGCATATATTTTACAGATTACTTATAATGCATATTAACATTTGTAGCACATATTTAACATATTCTTGGATGTTTGGAAATTGTTTTAGAAGAATAATTAGATACATATATAAAATTTCACTCAATTGTTGTTACATCCTTCATCTATACAACATATAGGATCTTTAAGATTTAGGACTTTCAATGAAATGCAAACCAAATATTGTTAAAACTACTATTGCTATAAATATAGCATGATAAAAATACATGGTGACATAAATAGTGTTCTCGGTTTTAAAAGGAAATATTTATCCCAATCATTTCCAAGAAGCTGAACAATGAATTTTTTAATTTTAATTTTATAAAAACAATAACTAATAAATAAAGATATTGGAAATAACTTGTGGCAGTCAAAGGTTTGTCATAGTTATAGGTTGACTGTTGTTACCATTACTATTTTAAAGCTTTGAACGTTACCTAAACATCAAATATCATAACATACATGTATTATTCATGTGATAGAAAAACAAAATGCAATAATCATTTGTACCTCATTTTTGCCCCCTGGGAACAGTGGGAACTTCTGGCTTTACAATTTTCAAGCCCTTAGTAAAGCTTAAGTTCCTACGCTGTAAATTAAACATACTCCCAGCAATTAAAGAACAAAACATAAGCACCATATTCACCCTCTATCACAAAGACAGAGGTGAAAACTTTCCTTATTTCCCTCACTATACTCTGCCTATCTGCCTATCTTATTCAGTGAGGGGTCATTTCCCTTGCTAGCAGCCTTCCCCCCCCCCTTTGGCCCCCCCCCATCCTTCCAAAGGCGTGATAGAGCCAGGTATACAAATGACTGGGAAATAATTGTAAGCTGTGGAGAATTCTTAACTATTCATATCAGAGAATGGCCTAAGCTAACTAAAATAATATTTCCTATTTTTGTATCACAATTTTGATAAAATATACATAAATGAACCTATTATATAACCACTATCAAGATTGGTAGAGGAGCCTCTGATAATGTGGGTAAATTTCGCTGTCGGCTATTAGCAGGGAAAACTCCAGAGCGACCAGAGTAGCAAACTCGTATGCCAACATCTCCTTCCGGTGCAGCCGGAAAACGTCTTCAAGTTGCTGAAATATGGAATTATCAAATATATACTGATTCCTGAATGTAAATGAGTCCTGAACGCTAATGATAACAGTTACATTTCTGCATAAGTCTACCTCTGGATGACTATAATGTCTCAAAAATGTCGATAAAACGCCACCATTTTACTTCTCTTTACTTCTTACAGTGTCACATACATTTAATTTCTCTATTTAAGGTCATCTGACGATACAATTTTTTTAAACTTGTCATCACTATTCTTTATATGGAATATTAAAAAAGTTACTGAAGGAAATAAATACTGGACCAACTCCACTATTGGTTTTCTGCACCACACAGATCACAAAATGCCATGTGGTATAAGCACCATGTAAAAGGCTAGAGAAGTATTATAAAAACACTTAAACTAGTGGAGTCAGTGAAAAGAAACTAAAAATTGTGTACTTACATCGATAAGTTTAGAGAGTTCTGTACCCTTGATATCATTCAGTTTGGCCGACAACATTAGGCAAGCACCTGCACAAAGTTTGCGATTCTGCTTTGAGATCAATAACTGAAATGAAATATGATAATTGGTAGGTTAAGCTAAATTAAACCATGACTTCTTTAAAGGTGATAACATAACTTTGATTTATTTAATTACTGGCAATATATTAGCAGAGTGTATTGTAGCTAATTTCAACAATTCATTCTCACCCATAAAACCTGTAAAAAATGTGAATTCTTTATAACTGATGTGATAAAGATTAACACTGCAAGTTTGTTCCCAGTAACTTGATCAATTAATTTTCTTGAGGAAAAAATCTTTATTTTATAGACATGATCATTATCTGATACAGTTTCCAGTTGTTTTCTGGAATTATTACAAACATTTGAGCCACGTCACGACAAAACCAACATAGTGGGTTTGCGACCAGCATGGATCCAGACCAGCCTGCGCATCCGTGCAGTCTGATCAGGATCCATGCTGTTCGCTGTCAGTTTCTCCACTTGTAGTAGAGTTGGTAAGCGAACAGCATGGCTCCTGATCAGACTGCGCAGATGCGCAGGCTGGTCTGGATCCATGCTGGTCGCAAACCCACTATGTTGGTTTTGTCGTGACACGGCTCATTTACATATCCATACAAATATCTGCAATAACATAAGCCTCTGACTTCACAAGACTAACCAGTTCTTTACTTTAAAATTTCTCTTTCACTAACTTACCTTTAATATCAGTTTTTCAAAGAAAACATATGCTTGGGCAACAGTCCATAAATCTATATTGCACTGAAAAATAATACAATAATTATGAAAACTAAATTAAATAGTAATACTGTATATATTACATGACGACAATAGCTAGAAACATTCAAAGCCCTTGCATGCACTACATCAAAACATGTCTATCCATTATTTTATTACTCAACAAAAAAGTATTCCTACAGATGGTAATAAGCTTTTATTGATAATATATATTTTGATTTTTTTAAAAAAATACCTAGATAATTTTTTATTTGTTTGATTTTATGGCCTACTTATACAGTTTAGGTCATAAGGCACCAAAACAGGAAAGATGATTTTGGCTAACCTTTGGTGTTACAAACTTAAAGCAACACCAGAGATCAAAAAACCAACTCACTTGCTGGAGCTAAGTGATGCATAGACTCAATTAATATAAACCCCTTCAGTCACCCCTTACCGTCATGCAAGGTTAAACAGTGGCTGCAATTCTAATGCCTCAACTCAAAAAGGCAACCCCTCAACTACAAGGGAAACTATATAATTTTACAAAATCTGGAGTGCAGGTACTAATTTTCAATTGAATCATAGTTCATGTGCAAATCTTCATGTGATTTAGCAGAATCTTCATTCAATTTATAGTTCAGTTGCAAATTTTAGGGAAATTTAGTTGCATATTAATTTTCAATTAAAGGTCAGATGTCAATTTTTTTTAGCCAAATACTGAAAATCTAATAAAATATTCATTTAATTCATACTTCAGTTGCAAATTTCCAGGAGATTTAGCTGCATATTCATTTAAATTAGAGTTTACATGCAATTTTTTGGAAAATTTAGCAGAATATTGAACAATTAACAGAATATCCAGTTTAATAATTGTTTAAATGCAAAATTTCCAGGAAATTTAGTTGAATACTGATTTTAAATATTATATATGTCTCACCTTAACATGTCCTATATTTCTCATTTCTTTTTTCAAACTGAAAAGAAAACAACAAATATTTTTTCATTATTAATTTAGGATTTTTAGGTATAACAAGACCAGATACATAGAGACATGTTATGTAAATCTCTGATCAAGACATATATATGCAACTTAAACTTTAGTCAGCAAACAATATAAAGCCTTGTTAGCATACATGCCATAATTATTTAGCATATTTCTGGGACACATTCCAATATTAACTTGACAATAAGATTACATTAAAACGTAAAATTTCTGGCTGGAAAGTGGATTATTCTAGATTTTTATTTTTACCAAGACATAAATGGTCTCCAGAACGACTCCGGGACAGACACCTGATTTCCAAAAAAATCCCATACATTATGGCATGTTTGCTGGTCAGACTGCATGAATTTGTAGGCTGGCCAGGCTTCATCAGGTTAGCAAAGGCTTTTTACTTCCAGTTAAAGCAGGGCTGGCAAAATCTGATTCTGACCTACTTGTCTGTTTTATCTGAACCATTTCTTTACTTGTTTGTATTATATTTTATGATGTAAATTCTGAAAAGAATTCACCTGTCCCTTCAGACTGTGACAGCCTTGGTAATATTTTGATTTTTTCGCCATTGTAAAGGGTAAAGTAATCAACAGTCTTTAAAGTCCTGTATAATCTAATAACTTAATTATCTAGACCATTTCTGTACTTGTTTGTATGATTTATAATTTAAATTCTAAAAATTTTTTTAGACAACCTCCGCAAAATGAAAAATTAATTTTGCCAGGCTAAGTAGTCAACCTTTACCTTATAACAAATAACATAAAAGCTGTAAATGAATTCTTTCGAAAGTTAACATATATATGTAAATTATTACCTTCTGAACTTTGTAAGGGTAAGCTGAACATTTGGAAACTTTTCCCTGAATTTTTCGTTCAGTTCTTTCTTCAAAGTTGAAGGCTTCACATAATCTATCACAGAAGTCTGAAAAAAAAATCCACAAATAATACAGTATTATGTATCAGATGGTTCATTTAATAAGGTTATGTAACATGGATGTTTATATGCATTGTGTTGATAATATATATATGATACCAAGTAAATTTTGCAAAAATACTTGCAAGTTCAACGAAATACACTATATTATACTAAAAAAATACCATGGAGACGGATATTCTGATCTCGTCAATTTACACATAATATATTTTTTCTTGCATATTTTACCACATTTTACATGGTTTACCTAAATAAATTGTCATGGAAATTAATATCATTCCATCTGTTACTATTTTCTTATAGTTGTGTATGAAATGACATAATTTTGAAGCAGGGGACTCATATGACACACCCATTGCTAGATGAAATTTCCGGTATTTGTAAAACAGATAAGAAAACAGAATCCTTAAAGATTGCCTACTGCAAAATAGAAAATGTTCCATACTCAGTTTGATGGAGTCTGTTCATGAACAGAATTGAGCCGTGTCATGATAAAACCAACATAATGTGTTTGCGACCAGAATGGATCCAGACCAGCCTGCGCATCCGTGCAGTCTGATCAGGATCCATGCTGTTCGCTATCAGTTTCTCTGCTTGTAATAGAGTTGATAAGCGAACAGCATGTATCCTGATCAGACTGCGCGGAATTGCGCAGGCTGGTCTGGATCCATGCTGGTCGCAAACCCATTATGTTGGTTTTGTCATGACACGGCTTAGTTTTAATACATCCTAGAACAGGCTTAAGTAGAATTAAATATTTAAACAAGAAATGATGAAAATTTGAATTTAGGAACACCCACAACACCTGTAAATCTGGTTGGATATCACGGAACGTTCAATGTGACACATTTTTGTCATTTCATGATGAGAGTGTAATGTCCCCAAGTTAACTTTTGAAACACCAATATGATAAGCAACAATATCACAGTTCTGTAAGCAATGGTGTTAATCGTACCATGTAAGAGGAGAAGTTGAGCACTGTCCTGTATCCTCCAGACTGCAGCTCCGGATCATCTAACAAATTTGGGTTATACATCTCTTCCTCCTCTTCCACAACTGAAATTAAACCAAAAATACTCGTGTATATCAAACACTTAAACCTTCAACCCACTATATTTCTTAAATCAACTTGACCAGTATATTATTACCAGATAAAAATGTGAAGTCAGACAGCCAACAGTATAGAGCCTGGTCAGACTGCATGGACATCAGTCGTGCTAAAAACATTGCTCCTTATATAATGTAAATAATTTTCTATTTTATTTGACGGTACATTATGTCGTAACCATGTACATTTTGAACACATCTTATAGTGACTCAATGCCCATCTAAGGGTATAATATGAGTGAACAGGTGAGAGTAAAATAAGTTTACATGTTGCCATAATTCCTTTTTCAATTTTATGATTTACTTGGAATGAATGATAAATAACTCATGTGGTCCAAGAAATTTCTATAAATATCCATAGAAATTTACCTGTAAGATTCAATTTAGAAGTCTTTTTACTTTTAAGGCAAATTTATATTTTATCCTAAACATTTACCAATATCAACTGTTGGTCAATCACAATTATAATATTCAATCTTTTGAATTTAGCTTAACTTGACAATTAAAAATGAGCATAATGCAACATTAAATGAAAGGCCACAAAAACATTCTTTACCAGCTGTTAGTGATCATATTAAACTCAATATCAATGTTTAGTCTGCATGACTTGATACACATGCACAGTGGAAATCAGTAGATACACTTGCCCCAAGACCATGTTAAATGGCTATATAATAAAGGAAACATAGAAATTTATTTCACCCAAACATCCAATTTCTTGATTATATATTGTGCTGTTAGTAATTCTAAACAGTCTATTCCCAAACAATCAAGGTCCTTGTGTTGTTTATCATGTGATGTAACACTGTTCTAGTTATGTCCTGGTATTAGATCAACTGAGCAATGAGAAACATATTATATTGGACCAACTGTGCGATACATTAGATCAACTTAGCAATATATTATATTGGACCAATTAGCAACTATGCTAATTAAATCAGATCAACTGAGCAATATATCATACTGGATCAACACATGTTTTTTTTTTATCAGTAAAACAGAATATGCCTGTTTGCGATAAAAAAGAATATTATTACATAACAAAAGGACAAAATACAAATTGGCAGACCAAGTGTATAAACTGTAAAACTGAAGCACTGTCTTTTAAAAATATTACCAATTTTTTATGTACATTAACCTTTATGCGACTAAATTATCGTATCATAATTGAACTCATTCATCTTTCAATGTGGACAAAACCATTCATCATTCTTAGGGAAAATTTCAAAAATATGATCTAACTGAATAGGGAACATGGACCATGATCAGACAGTACAGATGTGGCAGCTGATCCTGGTCTGCACTGGTCCCATAGGTAGAATCTCTTACCTAGGAGTTATATATTCTATACATACAGATAACTAAAACCGAAAGAAATAATATTTTGAAAAGAAATTACAAGGTCTGACAAAATTCTTATGACATCATAATTATGACAGGGTGACATAAACAAATGTGATCTTTTAAGTATTTAATACGTCTAATAATGACAACAAAATGAAGTGAAGTACTAATAATAATACAGTGGGAAGTGAAAAGGGAAGGTGTTTTTTTTTTTTTTTTAATTTTATAAGTACAAAATGTACTACAACACACTTGCATACTATTGTAAAAAGGAGTTACTAAGCTAACATAATTATGAGGAAAATATTATACATGTACATTTATCTCTCTGACGATGATTTATAGGAACAGCTTGTCTCATAATTAAACATTTGTTAATGTGTTGATCTACACATGAAATTATCAATATAAAAAACTACATACATAATAATAAAAAAATTATATTGTAATGCAGTTAACAAAATATTCATCTTTTACAAGAGTTGCTTAAAATATTGTTATAGTTCCTTAATAAATGAAATATTACCCAGTAGAAAGACTGACATGCAAATTTACCAAATTACATGTACATTATACAGACACTGGAATACCAAGTCTTCAATGCTGAGCACTTCTTAAAACTGAACACCACTGAGGTTTTTTGCAAAATTTCAGATCATTGGACCACTTCATTTTCCCAAGTGATTATTAATCTTGAAAAAATCATCCAAATGGGGCTAAGAATAGCACAAAAATATAATTTTCAATTTATTTCAGAATATATTATTACAATATATTATTAAATTACTTTTGCATATCTTTCTGTTTTAAGTGTTCCAGCTGATCTATGTAAGAAATTCAAATTTTATGCTTTTAGGCTTTTGGACCTCGGTGGAGGTCCTTTATGGTAGCCAGCTTTGTAATGTTTTTTTTTTTGATATTTTGCTAGTCATCAAAATATGAATATAAAAACTACAAGCCTAGTTTTCACCAATCTAATAACCAGATTGTTCCTATAACATGAACCTTTTTTTAAACAGGCATATGAAAATTTGGTCCATTGAGCAATCTTTACCACTATGCAGTACATGTTGTTAGACCATTTTGTTTATTCACTCAAAGTTAGTAAGCAAGGCTATTATCCTTTTTACATGATAACATTATGAATATCATTGATGCTGTGTAAGTCTCCCTTTGACAACCAACTTGATTACTTTAAAATAAATTGCATCAGTCAATTGTAATCCCCCACATCCCCAGCGTGGGAAAAAATTACTCAAATTTTTACCTTCATGCAATCCAAAATTCCCCACAATTACCTGTGGATGTAGGCTTTCAGGGGTTACAAATCACTGCTGCATATGAAATATGCATGTACTATTTTGATAACTGATCCACTCATGTCTAAAATAAACTTATATGAAGAATGCTGGAATTCAGCCTAATTATCATCATTTCCTGATTATCTAATTGAAGATAAAGTAAACACAATTACAACCAAAGTTTGAATGGAATTCAAAATTCAAAGCTGGGCAAAGTTCTTAAATGAATTCAGTATTTAATAAGTTAAATGATATTTTCTTCATGTGTATTTGTTTGTTTTGTCAGATTGGAAGTCACAAATATACTGTATAGGCCATATGGCCACTTTTCAGCTTTACTTTACTGGTGGACCTCAGGTGCCTCCCTGTGCATTATTTCAGACACAAGCAGGCACCTGAGTAGAACAATTAACCTTCATTAAGCCAGCTGGATATCTTCCTCATGTGAAATAACCCAAAGTCCCTGACACAATTTGGACCCACAGCGGTGAGGGCAAGTGGTTCAAAGTCAGCAACTTAAGCCACTCTGAGCACCAGAGACCATATACATGTGGTTGATCTTTACATTTATCTGTTGTTTACTCAAGCTAACAAGAAAATATACAACTGAAAAACTATGTTGAAAAGCAAAATTCACTAAGTGTTAAAAACCAACTACATTTAAAATGATATTAAAGTATTAAAGAGCTCTATACAATCGCTAGAGAATTCTGAAACAACAAATATTATTGCATAACAAATGCCAATCACCATTATAGATCAAATATTTCTAATTAGCAAAAATTCTTGAATAATATGTTTACAATCCTATATATTATATACAGATCTTGAATAATACATTTACAATGCTATATTCTATACAACAATAACTTATTATTATCATGATAATTATAATAATACTAACAAGAATTTGTAACAGAGTTACCAACGTCCCCCGCCCCGGGAGTTTTATATGAAGCATAAAATTGTGCTATTTCAAAAGATTGAGGTATGGATCTCAGGACATTCAGTCCAAAATTATGATCAATGCTAGATCTGCAAATGTAACAATAAATTTGTTAAAAAAATAAAATGAAACACGGAATTTAAAAATCTATCATGTTAAGCTTTGACCTCTAAGTGTGACCTTGACCTTGGAGGTAGGGGAGCAGGTGTTGTGCATGACATAACGTCTTATTATTGAGACTATTTGTGCCAAGTATTTTCGAAATCCCTTGAACTATGAAGAAGTTATAGATTGGACACAAAATATACCCTATAACAGACTATGTAAATTTTTCACCTCTAAGTGTGACCTTGACCTTGGAGGTAGGGACACAGATGTTACGCATGACATATCATCTAATCATTGTGACTATTTGTGCCAAGTATTTTCAAAATCCCTTAATCTATGAAGAAGTAATGGATGGGACAAAAAATATACCAAATAACAGACTCTGTTAACCTTTGACCTCTAAGTGTGACCTTGACCTTAAGAGGTAGGGGTGCAGGTGTTGTACCTGACATATCGGCTTATTATTGTGACTATTTGTGCAAAGTTATTTCAAAATCCCTTGAACTATGAAGAAGTTCTAGATTCGACACAAAATATACCCTATAACAGACTATGTTAATTTTTTACCTCTAAGTGTGACCTTGACCTTGGAGGTAGGGATGCAGGTGTTGCGTATGACACATCCTCTTATTAAAGTGACTATTTGTGCAAAGTATTTTCAAAATCCTTTGATCTATGAAAAAGTTTTAGACCGGACAAAAAATATACCCTGTAACAGACTATGTAAGTATTTGACCTCCCAGTGTGACCTTGACCTTGGAGGTAGGTGACTGGTTTTTGCGCATGACACATCATCTAATTATTGTGAACAATTATGGCAAGTATTTACAAAATCCCTTCATAGATAAGAAAGTTATGGACCGGACACGACATATACCCTCAAATAGACAATGTTAACATTGAATGAGCAAGTACGACCTTGACCCTGAAGGTAAGGGTCTGGTTGTTGCGCATGACACATCGTCTTATTATAACCAAACATTTGTGCCAAGTTATTTCAAATTCCTTTCATAAATGACAAAGTTATGGACCAGACACGAAATATACCCTGTAACAGACTAGGTTAATATTTGACCTCCAAGTGTGACCTTGACCTTGCAGGTAGGTGACTGGTTTTTGCGCATGACACATCGTCTGATCATTGTGAACAATTATGGCAAGTATTTACAAAATCCCTTCATAGATAAGAAAGTTATGGACCGGACACGACATATACCCTCAAATAGGCAATGTTGACCTTGAATGAGCAAGTGTGACCTTGACCCTGGAGGTAGGGGTCTGATTGTTGCGCATGACACATCGTCTTATTATAATAAACATTTGTGCCAAGTTATTTCAAATTCCTTTCATAAATGACAAAGTTATGGACCGGACACGAAAGTGTGACGGACGGACGGACAGACGGACGGACAGACGGACGGACAGACGGAAGGACAGACGGACGGAGCCTATTTCTATATCCCCCTTTTTTCTTCGAAAAGGCGGGGGACAATAATGATAATAATAACAATGTATAAAATTTCATTATCATTATTATTATTATAAAACTTTTTTCAAAGTAATGGTAATTCTTGATTGTTTCATTGGGTTTTACATCACACCGACACTGTAGAAGTCATATGGCGACGTTCCAGCTTTACTGGTGCAGGAAGACGTCCGTTGCCCTTCCGTGCATTATTTCAGGCATGAACAGGCACCTGAGTAGAACCACGGATGTTCCGTTAGCTAGCTGGATAGCTTCCTCACATGAAAGAATCCAAAGTGCCTGTCAGGTTTCAAACCCACAGCGGTGAGGGGCAAGTGGTTTAAAGTCAACAACCATAACCACTTGGTAATTCTTGAAAGGGTAAATAACATCCATATTACTTTCTGTCAAAGTGAATCGCATATTAATTCATGTTTAAAAACCTTTAAGAAAGATAAGAAGACATGTTGTGAGGTTACATAATTCTAATGCATTGTGAAATATGTATCTTCAGCTTAGTGAAATAATAGGTTAACTCCTCTTAAATTTTAGAAGTAGTTACCCAATTACTGCACTAAGGTGAGAATATGGTAAAAGAAGGATAATTATGTCATAAAAAAGTTTTCTATTTTACTTCAATGCATGTCCATGTTTCAAGTGTTGAATTCTAATTGGCTAATTTCAATTACTGTGGCCTTTTACATTGTTTTATTATTGATTTATTACAACCTTGACCTTTATTGATCTGTAAAAACAGAGATATACATCTACAATGTAATTGCTATTTTTGTCAAAGATTGCTAATATACTGTACTTTGTGACACACCTAAAATCAATAGATGCCATAAAGGTGTTTTGTTTTTTTACTTTCCTCAAGAATAGTCTATCTCTGACATATACCATACAAAAGGAGGAAATTGGTTACCATAGGAAAGCTGACAGAGTTTAAACTTTCCTACACATAAAAGGGAAAACTTATAATAATCCAAAACAAGATTGCATTTTAGAAAAATGCTATGCCACCACATTATATAATACAACACTAAATGGTAGAGTAGGAACAGAAGAGTTTTTTTTTCTGTTTGTATACAAATGAACTTTGCCATAATGCAGTTAAGTTTAGTGAATTTGGTTAAGGTCCTATTTCACATGGCCTAAATTTCAGGACTATACAAAACAGTACATCAAAGGACAAGAAAGTAGGTCACAGGGCCAATTTTGACACCAGAGGCAAAATTTTAACAACTCTGGTAGAGGACCTATAGAGAATATTATATACCAAATTATATACCAAATATCAAAGACCCCCGGGTGGGGCCAATTTTGACCCCGGGGCTATAATTTGAACATTTTGGTAGAGGTCCACTACACAATATTTCATGCAAAATATCTAACCTCTAGTCTTTTGTCAATTCAGAGAAGAAGTTTCTTCTATATACTTATAAGGAAATCCTATGACTCCCCTGGGGCAGGGCTAATTTTGACACTAGAGGCAAAAATTTAACAACTTTGTTAAAAGACCTAAAGATGACATCATATTTAAAAAAACAAAGCTCTAAGTCTTGTACCTCCAGACAAGAAGACATTAAAGGTTTTACTATAATTATGTACATAATGAAAATCAATGACCCATTAGGTGGGGCCAATTTTGACCCCAGGGCTATAATTTGAACATATCTTGGTAGAGGTAAGACTACCAGACAATACCTTATGCAAAATATCTATGCTCTAGGGATTGGGGACCTTAACAAGAAGAGTTTTGAAATTATTTTTATAACTCCTTCTCCAGATTTCAGCATGGAATCAAATTCTATGAACAATTTTCGAAGCGCTTCATCCAAGGATCAATCCTGCTATGTAATCTATATAACACACATAAATACATACATACACACAAACACAGGTGAATCGCTATTATGCCACCACATCGCAGATGCTACAGTAGCATAAAATACATTTCCTTTTTTAATTTCAGGAATCAGCAAGATCTTTGACAGAACAGTTAATTGCATGTGACAAATATGGTATCAGTAATTGCTAATTTGTGGCTAAAAGTATGTGATCAATTACATTTAAAGAGAAGTTAAATGTAATCAAGGAAATTCTCTACTCATCTATTGGCACTTAAATTGACATTTGAAAAACATCGAAATTTGCCCTTAGTACTGTTTTAACCCTGATATTGTTTGATTTTATTAACCTGTCAATTGCATACTGATTTCACGGTCAATGCACACAATATATTAATCTTCGATAAATGATCGGTAAACTTCGTGAAATGTACGCAGTTAGATTTGATTAAATTTAATTTGTTTCTATAAAATAGTTACACTGACTAAAAGTATGGATCGAACAATAGACCTCTAGAGTATGAGGTAATTACCCAACCGACTGTGCTATTGCGAATATGCCCAATACACAGACATTCAGAGAGTGTGACCTTTTAAAACATTAGTCATAAATTACTCCAAATTAATTTTCGTAATCTATACAGACGGAATCGATGTGGAATCGAATATTTAAATGAGTGCTATAATGTATTCATAATTGACAGATCTATAAAATCAGACTATACAACTCATTGTAACCTCTCTGGAGGGAGGATAAAGCAGTTTTTCAAGGAAAGAATGCCAAAATCTTATTAAACCTTAGCAATATAAGACAAGATAATGGATCTTTTTGTGTCAAACTTGAAATAAAAGCAACTTGTGAGGGAATCTTTTTACAATAAAACTAAATAGAAGCACTTTGCAAGGGCATGTAGCTTTCTAATGTGACTTTGGAAATGTCTTGTGAGAAAGTTGTAAGCTTAACGGTATAGCATATTGCAAAAAGGATGTGTAATCAAACAATTAGAGTCCCACAGTAAAATTAAATTCAAAGCAACTCTTCTGATTAGATAGAAAGTTTTGTATATTGCAGCTTCGAAAATAAAGCTCATTTAACTGGACACAATTGTCTTTGAAAATAAAGTCATGTCCACTCTGCTGTAACCTTGAAATCTGAGAAAATTGCATAAAAGTATAGCTTTCTGCATAAATCTGGGAAATAAGTCAACTATCTTAATTAAGAATTAAGCTTTTTCAATAACATTGAAAATAAAGCAATACTACTTTTTTGCATCAACTTGGCATAAGTTGGATACATTCAGGAAAATGAAACTAGTGTTTTTTATCATAACAGTTTGAATTAAACATAATTTACTTTAGTTTGATTGTGTATAAAGGTATAATTATATAGAGACACTCTCTAATCAATTCCTGGAATCAACCAGTACTGAGCAATGAGTGAAAAGTTTCTTGTTCAAGGAAAAACCGTTTGCATCACTGTGGTGCTAGCTGACATGTTACCCACTTAACCACTTATACTTATTAATACTGTTATTCACTTCCCATCAAATAAGATCCTTGATACCACTATTGTATAACACCGATAAAATTTAAGGTTTTAGTCATACAGTCATACAAATTTAAATAAAAACTCTAACCATCAAAAGTATATGTACAAATTTAAATGTAAGTGAATAAAATAAAAGTCAACTACATTTTTCCTGTTTATATCAATAAACGGTTGCATTGTTAACAAAAAATATCCACATAAAATTGAAAATCTTAGGCATTAATTTTAGGTAAATAGCAATGTCTAGAGAACAAATAAAATCAAAAGGCACTCAAAACACAAAGGTAGGTGAAAACTGTCCATATAAAGAAAATGCACTGTGTCTAACAGGTACTTTGCATAAACAACATAAAAACTTCCATTGTTGTCACACATCAGAAATGTCAAAGATCCCCTTATTATGTTTCTCTTTTATATCTAGAAATGTTTATATTTCAAAAATCGTGAAAGATACATAAAAATTAATTGAGAAGTAGCCTACATACCAAAGTGACAGTTACACACAGTGATTTACAAAAAGAGGTAAGAATCTTGGATAAATATAGATTTATTTATAAAGACAGACACATCATGCGCAAGCACACATGAAAGAAAAGCATGCAGGTGAATAACATAAATGCCGATATACCTCGATGAAGGGTCGCCATAGCGATAGAACCACGAGGAGACAACAGTTTAGGGTCCTCTGATACACTACGAGTGTATATTCGACCTGTAGAATTATTGTAATTTTCAGCAATGACAATATCCTGCTAGTTTTTTTTTTTACCTTACCATTTTACCCAGACTGCATTGCTTTGTTTTCAAAGCATTTTCTTCACATCGGCAAAGATTTTTTTCAAAAATGCCTTGATACAAGTGTAAAACATAGAAAAATTATTAATAACAAAACAATTATATCTGTTAATTAACTGTTCGAACAGTGAACTAAAATTTTCTGTAACAACTTCGAATTCAACTAAACTTACAAGATTGAGTCCAGAAACTCAAATCTGCAAAGGTCAAGATTTTATCAGATTTTTAATCTAAAGCATACAAATATGTAAATAAGTTTCAGTTAACATGTAAAATTGAAGTTAAAGCAATATGTTATAAATAATAAAGCATCTGAAATATTGCAAGTAGTTAAAATAAAAAGGTAAATATTATCCTATAAACCTTGAAACATAATTATGTGGTCTAAAAATTTCTAGAAAATAAAGCAGGGGCAACAACAGACGCATGTTTACAAAATAACAAACTGGTGAAACCCCAAACTTCACAACCAGTGTTCAACAACTAAACATTTAATATCTATCTGCTTTCATCTTATAAAGCCTTAAATAAACATTTTCATTGCATTGTTTTCAAAAGAAAATTTGTTTCATAAAAAGATATTTTCACTATTTTTTAAACCTTTCCTTTTTATTTTAGTTTATAAACTATGCAAAAAAAATATTCTTCTTTAATTCTCTTTTAACATTTTTTGTTCTAAACACATGACTTTTGTAACAAATGCCAGAAAATCATATTTAACCCATTGTTCTCAAATGAACGACATTGAAATTTGACCAATACGCAAGAGAAAAGTTCCCAGTCAAACTTTTAAGTCATGGGACCTTTTTCCTAAAATTGCTGGAAAAGACCTTGCAATATGACCGAAAATTAAGACAAAAATACAAATATTTAGACAAGAGTAACATGAAGTAAAGGCTATGAAAAAAAAAACCAAGACAAAAGTCAAATATTCGAAAGTATTCACAAAAAGATGAAAGCAGGAGAGATTCAAGTGAGTATGCATGCCAAAATTTGTACAAAACAAAAGTGAACATACCTGACAAATGATCAGACATGTTTAATCGAGATTCCGATGATGTCCGTCTAATCTCTTTACTCTTTTTAGTCGGCTCCAAAAGTTCGCTGTATGAAACATCCTACAAAATCATAGGTGATAACTGTATAACATTTAAACATGCTTAATTTAGCTTTTCATCGTAACCAGCAGAAAGTATCGCCTTTGAAGTAAACTTTATTTTCCCGCCAGAACTAATTTCAGACTGCTTTCTCTCCAGAGATGATCCAGCCAATGTGATTTAACAGATAGATGAATGTTTAATATCTCGTGGAAATAAACAAATGTTACAATAACTTCCGATATTAAAAAAGCAAAAAGTTTGTGTCAAAAGGTAATATGTTGGTAAAGTAATTTGAAAAAAAATAAACTGAATTTGCATGAAAATGATCAATAACAATAATATCATACACAGAATATACTATCTACTTCAACAATAGTGACAGAATTATTTTTTATCATTTTTATTTATTTATTTATCTGTTTAAATTGCAAACAAACATTTTGAGAAAGAATTAAATCTTAGTTTATACAAATTTATTTTAGTTCAATTGTATAGAAAGCTATAATCTGATTGAAACACTGTCAAATCTGTTCCTAGAACCAATCAGTATTAGGCAATGAATGTAAAGTTTCTTGCTCACAAAAACAAAGGCTAGCCCATGATGAGATTTTAACCCACTCGACTTGTCTGACCACTTGGCCATGCCGCCACTCTAATTTAATCTGAAACTTACACTCTACTACTACAGGGTTCTCAATAAGAGCCGGCCGCCGGCCGAAATGACCGTTTAAAAACACTTTTTGGCCGGCTGAAATTTGTAAAATTTTCAATTAATACCAAAAACTGAGAAGATAATTTGACTGTCAAATACTGATGCTCCGTAATAATTATTAATTTTTCAGTAGAAACACAATAAATGATTGGAATAAATCTGAAAACAGACTTTTATTAGCATATGAATCTTAATTAAACTTGCATAAAGTGAAACCGGAAGTCCAACTCCATTGCCGATTTTTCCAGCCTACTGCAATATTGAAATGAAAAAACTTGCTAAAACTGGACACTATTCAAGGGTTTAAACTTTAAAACACATGATTTGTTTGCTATAAATCGTAAAATCAATTGTTGATAGTTGTCATTTACACTGATAATGTGTACTAAAATACATTCATGTGTTGTCGAAAATAGATCTGATTTCGGATGTATCTTATTCGGACATGCATACGGATTGGGAAAAATTTAAAAAAAAAAAAAGAAATGTTTTATATAAAATATCTTATTTTGACTGAACTTCATACACTGATATATACAATGCTTAGTTACGAATAAGCAATTTTAATGCAAGTAATATAATATGAATAACAAGCTTGTTATCAAAGTTTTGATACCCTAGGTATAAAAATTAAGGGCAATATACTTTGGTCAAAATGACATAAAATCTATAATTTGTTGTTCAAATCAGGGACAAAAGATGTAAATCCAATGTTCCTACTCAAATCTTATACCAAATAACTGATACATTTTTAGTGAATTACATGTACTGAGATTTGTTGGCATAAATAGTAAAAGTTTTTATGACATTTGCTCTGTCCAAAGTCTGACAAATAAGTTTATAGAATTTATGACTAACACATTTAGGTCCTGTTCAAGCTTTTAACTTCAAAATAAGAATCTATTTTAGGATCAGGATCAATATTTGGATCAACTGTAAAATTCCCTTATCTTACAAAAATAACAATAAATTTATCTAAAATTTCATAAACTTGCCATCGCAAACCCAACTTCATCAAATTAATATTAGATATATAATCTATGAGGATAAACAATGAAGAATATAAGTTTTTAATTTGGTCCTGATCCTTAAATTTGTGTGAACACTCGGCCTGTTTTGATTTTGTAAACATGAACTGTATATTGGTGTATATATATATATGTACATGTGAAACTGTAAGCTCTATTGAAATCTTGTTAGTGTGCCATGTCTGCAGCTTGACAGGCAACACATAATTTGCTTATTTTTATTTAATCATTAAATGCCAGGTGAGTATTCACATAATTGGCAATTTTAAAATGCCCTTATGTTCAATGAAAGCGTTAATCCCTAAAAATGAAACACAATGATTGGCATCTGGCACATGATATTTTATTATTGAATAAGAGTGATTTTTATGCAGTAATTTTCTAATATTTTTCTCCTGTCTGCAATTAATGCCCGACATAACTGTATTGGTCCACTATTTTAAAATGAATTGCAGGATATGGTGTTTCATTAACTTTAAAATGAATTAAAAAACAGTATTTAAGGCAAAACTGCACTTTTTTATCCAATTAATCAAACAAATATATTTGACAACACACTTAATACTGGATTACTCATAATGTAACACATTTTTTATAGAATTTAATAGTGTGAGAAATTTTATATAGTTTTTTTTTCAAATTATGCCTTTACATTTGGTCTTCTGTAATAGTTTCAAACTGCCAAAATATGGCCTAGAATGCAGGAAATCAAGTGCTTAATTTCAAAATTTTCCTGGGGAGCATGCCCCCGTACCCCCCTACGAGGCCTGCTAGAATTCAACTTTGGCCTGCTGAGCTGAAAGTTATTGAGAACCCTGCTACTAAGGCTTTTTCCCTAATATAATTGGGCTTTTTTTAGGGTGATAAAAGGTGGTTTTCTAATTCATAAGAAAAAATACTTTTCCCAATTTTTCAAGCCAATTTCCCATAATTAAGTAGGGGAGAATTTCAAAGACCTGGACTAAGTAGCTAGATGTTCTAATAAGTTCAATGCCTACACACTCCTAGATATACTTACGTAAAGATTATTGACCTCTGGAAGGATAGGCTGCAAGCCTAGTAATGAAGGTAGCACTTCACAGTGCTGAATGAAATAAATAAATAATATCAATTCTTAATATGTACAATTTTTTTGGTTGTCATTCCACCTTTACCCAATGTGATGAAATATTCAAGGGCTGAATTCAACTATTTGGCCACTTGATTAAAATTACTTGTGCCTTATTTTTCTACATGATAATTTGAGCAGAAAGGATCAAAATAACAGATAGTAATAAACATTTTATTAAGCATGTGCAGAAAATTTCAAACAAGAGGGCCATGATGGCCCTGAAGTCGCTCACCTGTACATAGGCCCCCTGGAGCGGGGCAAGTTTTAACCCCAGGGCTTTTATTTGAACAAACTTGGTAGACACCCATTAGAAGATGTTTCATGCTAAACATCTAAGATCTAGCTTGTTGGGTTTTTTAAAAGAAGATTTTTTAAGTTTTTTCTTTACACATATATTTAAAAACAATGACACCCCTGGGGCAGGGCCAGTTTTGACCCCAGGGCTTTTATTTGAACAATCTTTGTAGACACTTCCTGGAAGATGTTTAATGCTTAATATCTAAACTCTAGCTATTCGGGTTTTTTGAAGAAGATTTTTAAGTTTTTGCTATACACATATAAGGAAAATCAATGTCCGCCAGGGCGGGACCAATTTTGACCCCAGGGCTCTTATTTGAACAAACTTGGTAGACATCCATTAGAACATGTTTCATGCTAAATATCTTAGCTCTAGCTCTTTGGGTTCTTTAAAAGAAGATTTTTAAGTTTTTACAATATGCATATAGGAAAAATCAATGACCCCCTGGGGCGGGGCCAATTTTGACCCCAGGGCTTTTATTTGAACAAACTTGGTAGACACCCATTAGAAGATGTTTCATCTTAAATATCATAGCTCTAGCTCTTTTGGTTCTTTAAAAGAAGATTTTTTAATTTTTACTATATACATATAGGAATAAATCAATGACCCCCTGGGGCGGGGCCAATTTTGACCCCAGGGCTTTTATTTGAACAAACTTTTTAGACACTCACTAGAAGATGTTCCATGCCAAATATCTAAGCTCTATCTCTTTGGGTTATTTAGAAAAAGATAAATAAAGTTTTTTCTTTTGGTTGCCTTGGAATTAAATTCTTTGAACAATTTTCAAAGGTGACCACCAAAGGAACATTCCTGTGAAGTTTGGTTGAAATTGGCTTAGTGGTTTATGAGGAGATGTCATTTAAAGTAAAAGTTTACGGACGCCGGACGGACGCCGGACGAAAAGCGATCACAAAAGCGCACCCTGTCACAAAGTGACAGGTGAGCTCACAAAAAACTGGCATTTCTCAAGTGAGTGCCAATTTCAATACATGATATTGAGCTTGAATTTCTCAATTTCTGGAAAAAAGGCCACCACTGCATAAGGTAAAGGGCTAAACATAACTCAGTATTTTGCTGAAAAAAAACAAAACAAACAAACAAACAAAGCACTTAAATGACTTACTGGAGCATCCTCTCCACGAGCAATTTTCTGTCCAAGCAGGAACATGTCCTCCTGTGAGCTAATGGACTTGGTACCTGATGGGTAGCGACTTCTATGCATGCTCAGGACTGGCTGGAAGTCGTCAAATAACTCATGCCTGTAACAAACAATACATAAATCACAGTTTTATAATTTGTGATCTATAGTAATTTATCACATAAACCGCGGCGCAGGAGTGTAATAAAGCCATTTAATAAAAACGATATTACACTAGTGTAATAACACTTTGACATGACGTCATTTCACTATATAGAAACATAGCGTTAAAGCGCGCTAATGTTAGCGCTACACTAAAGGCGTGTCATTGAAAAATTACTCATTTTTATAGTTTATTGTTCTTATTTTATATTATGTGATAAACAGAATATCATATTCGTGTAGATTCAATACTAAATTTATTGACTTACCTTCATACCAAATCTTATTTATAAATCTTACAAGCTGTAATTGAACAATGTCACAGTCACCTTTGATATAATGACAACAAAATCAATAGAGGTCATTTTCTAGTGATGACCATTCTCCATACCAAATCTTAAGACTGAAGACCAAAGTCTTCTCTAATTTTTATGTCAGACAAGCTTTTAGTGTTCAAGGGTATGGTGACCTTGATCTGGACCTTAAATAAAACAGGGGTCACCTACTAGTTGTAAAAAACTCCACACAAAATCTGTAGACCAAAGCTTCCTATAACTATTGGTTGGACAAACTTTAAGTAGTTAAGACCACAGTGACCTTGACCGGACCTCAAAATCAAAAGGGATCAAACAATAAACATTAGCAATGAACCTACTGAGTTTTTATCTCTTTAAGGTACATATTTTACCAGGAAGATGTGATGTACTTATCATCACCTTAGTGCAGTAATTGGTTAAGTCCTTCTAAATTTAATTGGAGTTAACCAGTTATTGCACGTAAGGTGACAATATATATGGATGTACAGAAAACACCCCATTAAAGTATGTTTTTAAATAGAGGAATAAAAATCGCTTATTTGCAAATAAAGTCACTTTTCTTTAAAAATGCTACAAAAACAAGATGTAAACCACTCACCTGCCAGGTGCTGTATTTCTGCCACCATATGGAAGTGTTGATGACATCACAATAGGTGACCGACAGTTAGAAACAATTAGCAACCTGTAGATATATAAAAACCAAACTGTGAATTATAAAAAAAAAATCTGTCCAAGGATCACCTCACATCTCGTTATTCAATAAATAAATCTTCAGAACAAGAAATGTAAACTGAAAAATAAACAATTTCTTGTTACTCTTAATAGAAATACCTTTACGCACCTGTCTCATAATTCCATAAATCTAAAGAAAACCGTACAGCAAAAAAAAGAGACTATTTAAGGCAAAAGCTCAGCATATCTTATATATAACTCAATAAACTAGAAGGAAAACAGACGATACTGATATCTGATTAGGTATTACCACAGTATACTGAAATATATAGATATAATTATTCACATAAGACTCTCTTCACCTTAATATAACATTTTCCTTATATAAAATCATGTAGACAACATTTATCACATTTTATATGAAGTCCTTGGAATCCCATCATTATCCTGTAACAGTTTCATTCAGCACATGCTTTAAAATCATTCATATTGGAGAACAAGAGATCCATATAAGTCTTTGTTCACTCACCTAACATGCAATTGCCTTTATATATAAACAAGCCTATTTTTACAAATGGGGTGATTGCTTTTGAACTAAAAATTTTGAAATCTCAAGCCTATTTAAAACAGAAGCGTGAATAAGAAAACCATGCCAAAATGCATTTAAACAAAACAAATTACTTACAGAATTTTTTTTTCAAAGTATGTACTGACTTATTAGCAAATACTGCAGACAACAATTAGACATAATGGTCTACTATTAATGGATGAGCTGGCTGATTTTGGTCTGCACTGGTTGGCACCTTGCATGGCATTGGGTAAATACAGTATGATGAAGATCTACATTGTTAATTTTGGTTGGCACCTTGCATGGCATTGGGTAAATACAGTATGATGAAGATCTACATTGTTAATTTATATTTCTACCCAGGGGTCCTTCCAATTGTAAATCTATACACTTGCCAAATGACCTTGACACAGTCTGTGAACAGTACTAAGGGAAATATATTTTTACTGGTACATGCACACAAATTAAGGAAAATTGCATGAATTTTTCTGAAAAGATTTTTTCCCAAATAAATATTTACATGTAGATATTTTCATATGAATAAGAAGTATAAACATAAAGTTTAAAATATCAACTCCACCTTTACCCTGCTAAAATTGTGTAATGAACCTGTCCATTGGTACATGAAATTGCTTTAAAAGCAAATAATTGAGTGAGCTAAAATCATGTTCCCTAAAAAAAAAAAAATATATATATATATATATATATATATTTCTAAAACTTGTAAATTAAATAAGACTCATTATTACAATATTTTTCAACCTACTGTGACAAAATCTTATATCTCAGAATAAAGAGCTGCTCATTGGCAAGAGCAATTCTCAAATTTTCTTATTTCTACAAGTCAAACACATCAGATAAAGAATAGTATACTACAGTAAAGAGCATTCCCAAAACAACTTATTTTTTTTTGACATTCAAGGTCATTCAAAGCTAAAGGTCACTTTCTGAGTCCAAAAACTGTTTACTTAAAAAAAAGACTTTTTTCTTTGTTAACTTATAATTATCAATTTGACAACAATCTTTAGTAATAATTCTATATCTTTCTCAACTTTTTTATTTAAACAATTTAAAGTAGCAGATTTTTTTTTACAAGGCATGCTTATAAGAGGTTTTATGGCAGTTATAAAGAAGAAAAAAAACTGTCTCTTATATTACCTCATACATGCTGGGAGATTTATTTTATCCTATTACTAACAGTATCACATCATTTGAAGTGTGACTGCTAATTCTTTCCGGTAACTACAGACATAAATATAATTGCACAAAATTTGAATACTCTCAGTACCCACTCTGCAAGTAGCTTTTTATTTAGGCAATTTATTTTGTTAGCTTCAGGAATCCCTTAAAAGCTTTCAGATATAATTATATAACCTAATTGCTCAAGATAAAAGCAGCTACCTCAAGAAAATCTTGAAGATATGAATAATAGCAATATTGTTTGCCGGCTCGACAAAAGTGGTATTCTAAGGAAAAGTAGTATGTTCAACAAAAGAGTTCCCTTAGCGGACAAAGGTGACCTCCAAAATAAGTTATTATAGGACAAAATAAGAATTCAAAGTGAACAAAGTGACCAAAAGGACACAGCTATTACAGTCGAACCAATGAAGAATAATATATTGTATTTTGTTTGGTTTTACCACACTCCAATACAGAATAGATCATATGGCACCAAACAGGAAAAATGATTTTGGCTGTCCTCAGGTATTACAAAGTTCAAAGCAACGCCAGGGGTCAAAACCACCTCACCTCCTGGAGCCTAGGAGCTAAGTGTTCCTTAGACTCCAGTTATTCAAACTTATTTAGTCACCTTGAACGATCACACAGGGATAAATGGTAGCTGCAATTCTTATGCCTCAATCATTAAAGCCCAATGGTCGAGTTTGATACATAATATAACTTTTGTAAAGGAACTTTTGTATCCTTCATACATATGTACCAAATTTCTAAACACTGAGCATTGTAGTTACTTGAGAGAAGATTTTCAAAGTTTTAAAGTTTCATTCAAGTAAATAGAAATGCTACATGCCAAATATCTAATCTTTAGGCCACATCATTAACACAAAAATATATATATGCGCTTTCCTATATATCTAAGCTATGTGGTGTCAACTAGGGTGGGCCAATTTTGACCCCAAGGAAGTGATTTATTTAACATTTGTAGAGAACTAAATGATAGTGCTACATGAAAAAATATCTACGTTCTGGGCTTTGTTGTTCTCAGGGAAACAGTTTGTGCTCAGGTGAGTTTAAAAATAGCCAATGTGTCAACAACAAAAAACAACAACAAAACAATCCTTAAACGAAACAGACCAATGGTCAAAGGAAATATTATACAATCTCAAGATTACAAAACTAGCCAATGTAATAAAAGAAAAAAACAGATGATCCATGGGTAAAACTAGCCAATGTTCAAAGGTAAAATGAAACATATCATTCTATTGCAAAACTAGCCAATGTCCAGTAAACTGGGGGAAAAAAACTAGCCAATGTTAAAAAAAATCAATAAAAAAAATCAATGTACTAAAGTGAAAGCTAGCCAATTTCCATTTCACCTTAATTACAAAACACGTGTTATTAACAGCTCAAACAGACGTAATTCTGATAACATATCTACATTGTTTCGAGAAAATTACAGCAACATCCATGAGCAAGTTCCTTTAATGAAAAGTTAGACCTACAGTTTTGCCTTAGAATTTATGAACAAATCTCTCATTATCAAGTTTCATTAATGACAGCATATTTTCCAATGTTTAGTAAAAATCAATAGGTGTAAAAAGAAAACACATTAAGTTTCAGCAAATCAGGACAAAACAAAGTTATTGTCAAGGATTAATTTTTGTTTCCTGCAGTAACTGAAATAAAATACAACAGTTAACCCACCATTAAAATAATATATATGTGAGCATAAAATATGCAATAGATAATAATTAGATGTAGACATAATATATATAAATCTCATTGACTGAAAGTAGTAATGTCACGGTTAGGAACTGTTCACTCTTTAGAGGAAAAGATGCGTAAGCAGCCATACAGCTCCGTCGGTAGAGCCACAGAACAGTATTCTGAGGACCCGGGTTCGAGTCCCTGTTTGGCTGCACTTTTTTTGCGTGCTGAAATATTTGTGAAAATATGATTTCTTGAATTTAATGCTGTTTTTGTGATATCATTAATTAAGCTGGTACAAGTAAAGAATATGCTGTTATTAAAATCGTTCTATTCAGTTGTTGAATACCTTTGTTATTTATATAATTATTTGAAATATACATTGTAAGTTTGATAAAGGATCACACATTTCTTTGTCATATTTTGAAACATTCTTTTGTTATATGAATATAGTAACCTATTGTGTTACTAACAAATATATTGTTTTATTCAAAAATTTGTGATTTCTTAAGACCAAACTTAAACAAACAATCAATTTCAGTACCTGAACAGTCAAAATTATTCATGTAAGATGCTTTATGAAAATGTGTTTTCAAATGAAAGAAGAAAGTTTGCCTAAACAGAAATAATTTTAGTGTGATTAGATATTTGCGAATAATTTCAAGACGCAAAAATAGCAAATACTTCCATGTCGCAAAATTAACCACTTATACAGTATATAAATAATGGACTTCAGTAAACTTAGTTATAATTCTTACATGCCTTAAAGTACAACCTAACTTTGTGTCATGGATTTTCCCTATATAAGAATTCGGAACAGTCCATTTCAAGTTTAAGATATTTAAATATTTATGTAAAAATACAAAACAAAAAAACATTGAATCTTCATAAAGCTTGGTCAGATTGAGACTGTGCAGGTTGGCCTGGCTCTATAATGGTGGCAAAGGATTATCACACTTCTAGTTCCAGCAGGGTAAAGTCTTGACAAAAATATATTCCTTGTAAGGCCAAACTAAAATTGTTTCCAATTTACATGAAAAATGCATTTTCAGTAAAATAGTGTATCCAACGACAATCACATACCATACAATATTTAATAGTTTACATTAAAAAAAAAAAAAATTATCTCAAATTTTTTAAACTCTAAAGCAACTCACAAAATGAAATTTTTCTTTTTTACCTCTTTAAAAATCTACTTTAGTCTTAAATCAATTCAATCTTTTCTTCAATGTCAATGATTTATTCTCACTATTCTGAATATGATCATTTATGTTCTAAATTACCACCAACAGCATTATGGTCATATGACAAGTCACAACTTTCCAGTTTGACAGGTCAAGGAACAGCTTCAGTATCTTCTGTACATATTTTCAACTTCCCCTACACCTGCTTCACCACTTCCTTACATGACAGGAAGTCTATTTAATAGAAAAAGCAGAAAAGTCCAAGACATCATCAACACATGCTTTCATACAACCAGACATCCTCAACACATGCTTTCATACAACCAGACAAGACAAGAACAACAGACAAAGACACTTTAATACAAGAAAAATCAGAAAGCGATCCCAAACTTGCAACAGAAGACAAAACAGAATTTTAAGAACACAAATAACAAAAATCAAAATAAAGCTTTTAATACAACTTAAAACTGATTTGACATAGGCCAAAGCTGTTTTCCTAACATTGCAGATAAACTGAACAGATAAACATGGTCAAAGAACCATTCAATCACAAATATTATTTGAAAAACCCAAATGAATGACATGAAGAGTTTTTGTCACAAAAACATATGTCTCCCAAAACTATGTATGGTCATTCAAGTGAAGTTTCATTGAAATCCCACCAGTAACTTGACCTGTGAAAGGTGGACAAGATTTTTCTATTAATAGCTCTGACGGCCATTTTGTGCAGCAAAGCAGAACGTGCCGATGATGTGCACAAGCAGGAATGGTACTGATCACTCCTGTAAAGTTTGGTTGAAATCCCACCAGTAGTTTGAGCTGTGAAGGCCGGACAATATTTTTCTATTTCTAGCTCTGGCGGCCATTTTGTTCAGCAAAGAGTAAAGTGTCCGTGATGTGCACAACTAGGGCTGGTACTGATCACTCCTGAAAAGTTTGGTTGAAATCCCATAAGTAGTTTGACCTGTGAAGGGTGGACAAGATTTTTCTATTTTTAACTCTGGATGAATAGGATCAAAGAGAATTTTCTGTTACCTATTGTTCTCCAAGTCACACAAGTACCTCTGGGTTTGTATTGACAGACGGACGGAAGTTCTTACAGGAGAGTAATAATGTGGCTACCTATTGTTCTCCCTATTGTTCTTTTTAGCCACACAAAAGAAAATAGCCACATAAAAGCATTAAGGAATGAATGACATCAAAGAGAAAGAACAGTTACCTATTGTCCCTCTAGCCACAACGGTACTGTCCTGTGAGTGCGGACAGACAGACGGCAAAGGCAAAAACAATATGTCTCCCAATAATTTTGGGAGACATGATTAATAAATACCTCAAATTGCAGGGCTTTTTTCCTTCTATAGCAGGGGCTGTTATAGGACTGCTTCCCCAAAGAATTTTTTTTTTAAATCATGCAGTTTTCCCCAAAATTGAATTTACAGCAAGTTTTTTTCCCCCTTTTGCAAATATACCGCTTTATATACCTTTTTCCCCCAAAAATTAAGGGCAGGGCTGCTTCCCCAACCTGTGAAAAAAGCCCTGGATTGAGTAATACATGTACATGTTAGTATATTTAACTAATATATTTCTCCTTGAAAGTATGAACGATTCATTTTCTATACAGCAAGTAAAATTAAAGAGACTATCCTGTCTCTATATTTAATATCAATAACAGCTTTATTAGCTCATTATCACTCCCACTAGAGTATTCTGCTAATGTCATGCTAATGCAACAACAGGATCGACTAACTGACTGACATATACAATCATGCAACACAATGCACATTTTTACCATGTGTTATATGCCAAGCTCCATACATGCATAAGTAGCAAAAAATGGTGACAGTTAAAGCTAATATTCATAACTTACTTAGGTTTCACAAATTTTTCCGAACTATTCCTAAAATTCAAAAGTTTTGCAAAATTAAGTCTACAGAATCTGATATCTTTTTAGTTCCTGACCTTCATGAAATTTTATCGTCACTCAAATGGCTAAAATAAAGTGAACGAGCCTCTTTTAGTGAATTTAAAATGTGTCCATGGGATTTGGTTGCCTCAATATTCTACTGCTTTGTTAGCCTACAGACTGACAGCATAACAGAAGAATGGACGAACAGGGGCAATTCTAAATCCACTCCACCATTTAGTCTGGGCATAAAAATAGTTTTATTGAATAATGAACTGAGGTTTTTTTTAAAAACAAAGTGTGTCATAATGGTAATACTATCAATATGATATCAAGCCTTTAAAAACATGATCATATCTCATGTTTGTATCATAATGATGTTTTCAACATCATTATAACAACAAAATATGAACTTTGATATCAAAATGCATAAATATAATGATATGAAAAACAATATTAACATTATATCAACTATGGTTACACAAATGGCCTGTTCCATTGGGAAAATGGAAGAGCTACCAGAATAAGAAGAGCTCTTCAGGGCTGTTTGATTGGTCATTGTCTATTTTTCAGAAGTTCTTCTATCTATTCTATCTGGTTGACAGAAGACTTGGAAGTGGAAAAAGTCATGTGATCAAACAGCAAGGCTAACAAGGAATAGTGAGTAAAATAAAACATTCTAAAACTGAGTTGTTTTCATTTTTACTTTCTTCTGAAAACTAATATTTTATCACAATTCGATCAAAAAGTCATTTGGACGCCATTTTGAAATGGCTGCCAAATATTCAATTGGCCTTCTTTTCTGAGGTCTTCTAACATGCCAATTTTCTTCCTAGAAGACTGTATTAGGATAATTATATTTTTGAAAGTTCAAAAATAATCAACATCTCAGACTTTTTCAGACTTATGAACTTAAAAGATAATCAAACATGCCAATATAAGAAAATACAAATAAACTCATTTATGCCTACTGCAATGAACCTTCCGGTAGCCATGCCTCTGTTTAAACAACCATCCAGTAATTTATATTTGATTAAGTATAAGATCAGCATCTTTGAAGGCATTAAAAATCCCATACCTTTATAAAAAGAAATCAGCCTAAACATAAATGTTTAGTGTCAAACCATTCCAATTACAGACATGCTTTTGAAACAATCTTTGGTTTTTCTGTGCATGCTCAATTGAATTGAATGCACTTGATTCAACAAAGCAACAACTTTGATTAACCAAGGGCTAAATAATAAAAGCTTTTTCTTAAAGTCCTGGTCCTAGACAATATAATGCTTGGTCATGACAATTTTAGAAATCCTACACAGCAATTATAAATTTTGATTCTGGTCCAGTTCAATTAAAGGTTTGTTTAGAATAATTTAAGTCTCAAATAGCCAGAAAAAAAGATTTCCTGAATCAAATTATCAGCTAAACGCCTGTTAAAAATCAATGAGAAACATCTGTTTGTGATAATAATTTAGAAACTAGGAAATAATGCAGCAAAAGAGATAGATCTACTGAAAAAATAAGTTTTGGTGATCAACTTTCAATATGTTTTTTTTTTTTATCTTTTAATCCAGCAGAATATCTCTAAAACATTTTTATTAGTTTAAACCTTCCTATAGGGCTGGGATCATTATAATTCAATGACAATGATAAGTCTACTATTCTTAATCATTTACAAGCTAAATTTATATAATGGACTTATCCTGTTTTGAATCTGGAACAGTCCATTACTAGTTTAAGGGATTCCAACATGAAACTGTTAAAATTTTAACATCTTATCAAGTTATGGTGTAGAGTCTGGGTCAAACTGTGCAGATATGCAGATAGGGCCTTGACCAGGGGTTTAAAAACTGTAAAAGGTCAAAGTTTCCACAATATCCTGGGGTTGGAGAGGCCCTGCTTTCAACTGAATAAAACATAAAGGTTAATATCTATTTAATTATAAAATAATACCTAATACATTGAACTATCATCTTAAACTCATTACTAATAAAATAGGGTTTTGTTGTAGCATACCTTTCATTTTTTATCCTCCTACGACTATCAGGGGAGATAAATCTTACATCGTGATCATGTGAATCACTGGATTCGCCCGACACAGAGCTAGAGTACTTACTCAAAGAGCGATCTGTAACAGAAAATGTATCGTATTGTGGGTACATACGAAGGCACAAGCTCAATTATTATAGTCAACAGTTAACCTACTTAATTTCTTAAAGATATAATGCTTAAATGAAGATTTATCAATATTGTAAGTTCCAAAAATCATTATTTTGTAATTTTGTTTGTTTGTTTGGAAAGATATTACCGAATTTACATTTCATGTTAATAAAGTAAGGCAATAAAAAATTTATTTTCTATAAAGTCTAAGTCAAGTTTTGCAATAAGAAATGAATGCATATATTTTAATGATTACATATAATGTGTACTAATATTTGCAGTAAATATTTTACATATTCTTGGATGTTTGAAAATTGTTTTAGAAGCATAATTATATACCTATATAAAATTTCACTTAAGTTTGGTTACACTTGAAAAGTTTTACCAATGATTTTATTTTTTTAATTTAATTTTCATACAAATTAACATAAATTTGGAGGGGTACACTACTGTTTAATCAAATAATTCCACTGACTCATAATGTATACTCACCAAATTTTTCTGTAATACTCGGTACATGATCAAGTGGTATATGGATCAAACGTTTACGCGGCATAGCCTTCTCTCGGTCTCCTGAACACGACGAAGCCCTATAACATAAAATATCATGAAATATTCTTAAACTTACTATAGTTACAAAATTAAGGCATGGACTTACAATATATACGTTGTATCACATTAAAATTTGAAAATTCAAACTATATGAATGTATGCTTGTATGTTACAAAATAAAAAGTTAAATAATAAAAAGTTGTTTCAAGACAGTCTGTGACACATAATGTCAACAGACTTAATTTCTTTTGGACTGTTTTTACAGTATGAAAAAGGTTTTGCTCTTTTTCAACGAGACACAATTATTTTTATAATTTATAATATATACAAATGTTTTTCGGATAAAAATGCTATCTTTATTATATATACAAATGTTTTTCGGATAAAAATGCTATCTTTATTAGGTGTATAAAAAATATAAGTCAACTTTGAACGATGTTAACTCTGGTCACATGGAAATATGCCATTACTGTGGGATTAGTGATGATGTGAAATTAGTGATGTTGACTATACTACCACTCTCCATTAACAGCAATCTGCACAATGAGTTAATTTAATGAAATCTGTAAAAATTGTACCAGGTATGGTATGGTGTTGGTGCTAAGGTAAAGCAGGGTCTTTGAAAGACCCTGGGTAAAGGGTTTTGAATAAGCATGCGAAAGTTAATAAGTTATTTAATTAATAGTACTCTGAATATACATGTATATGAAATAAGCTGGAAGTCAAATAGTCAATTTCAAGAACTGACCATTATCAAATTTAATGATATAAAGATGAAATTGAATTTTTCAACCAACAACTAAAGCCTGGTCAGATTGCATGGACAAAGCCGTAAATGGCTTATCATTTTCAACACTATTCAAACAGTCATACCCATAAATGAAGTGTCATAAAGGCATTGGTTGCTTGTGGAAACCTATTGTGCTATGTATACATAGCTTTTTATGTTGATTACCATTTTAAAGATTTTGTGTAACTTAAAATCTTATCATTTCATCTGTTCTGGAATTGACATTATCATGATTAATTAGGCCTAAAAAAAAAAAGTTTGTTTATGGTAATCCGACCGACCGTAACATTTTAGCGCCGACCGAAACTTATTTACAGCCTTCCAAAAAAAAAAAATCGGACTAAAGCCGTCCCGGTACGGGCGTAACGGATTTTATACCATAATGTGAATTCGTTAATAATTTAGCCACAACAAAATGGCTGCGCCCCGGTCGCAGTCATTGTCAACTTTACTGGCAATAAAAATTGAAAAATGTTAGCAACGAAAAGATGAAATAAGCGTCATCAAATCTGTTTTCAATAGCAGTACGGTGCACGATATATACAAATCATTTACGGGCGGAAAAACATTGGATTTTGAGGCTAGATGTATGGTAAGTTAAAATCGTCGAATCGTCTTCAAAGTGGAGCGTCATTTTCCAGAGCGATTTATATATTACTTTTCGTTTGTTTTCTGGTCTCAAATGTTGTCTCGTTGCACTGCTTTTCATTTAATTATCCCTAAAATTCTGTTGTTTCATTTTCAGACAGAAAGTTTTATAAAACAGTGGAATTAATACAGCTCTGTAAAATTATTAGAAACTGTTATAAATCGCCTTCTAGTTTAAATATAATAAAATTTTAGTACCTTCAATGATACTAAAAAGATAGACACTAAAACAATTTTAATATTTGATGTACTAACAGCCAAAAGGCAAATCAGGAAGTCCATGGTTATACCTGGACCTTGTTTCCTTTCTTACAAAAAAAAAAAAAAATGCCTACCTACCGACCCATTGTTTTTTCAAAGATGTTATCAGAAACAAACCTTTTTTTTTTTGGCCTTATTCAATGCAAGTGGACTGACATTTACTGTATTTTGTATGGTAATCTGCCGCGTTCCTTGCAGTGAATTAATTAAATTTAATCATTTAATGGAACTTATTATACCTCCATCTTTTCCCTGTTAATTTTTCAGATATTTTGTCTTTCTCTAATTTGCTGCTAGCTTCTTCACCCTCTTGTATAAGATACATAGTATGAGATCTTTGTCTTGCATGATCTTCAGATGAACTGTTAGTTTTACTTTCATGCACGATATTTGTTAATTGATGGGCCCCATTTTCATTATCCATACTTATTTGTCCGGGGACTACCACACTTTCTAACCTTTCCTCCAAATCATCATGCTTATGCTTGTGACGCTTCCAAATGTGAAACATATAATTTGTATCCCTATGTGTGCCATCTAGAGAAATGTTTGACAGAAAATTCTTGGCAGCCAACCGGCGAACAGACGATTTTTTCTGATGTTTCATACTCGCAGCAGCCATTTTGACATGTAAGCTTGAATAAAATCACAGTTTGTAGAATATGTTCTGAGGCTGTGGAAATTACCAACATGCCTCGATACCGAATGAGGTGGAGTCATATAGAAACAGTTAAACTGTTTGTGACAGTTGACGTGACCTTTTCGAAATAAAAATTGAATATTACATAAATATCTATAAATATGGGCATTTCATAAGATTTGAATATACTTTTAGACAATGCGTTTCTAATATAAGCAACTTGGCAGTGGCTAAGACAGAATTATAAGACTTCAAAATGCCTTTTTTTTTTTTTTTTTTTTTTAAAGATTTATGTATTTTCGTAAAAATGCAATTCATAACATTTGATGCAATAGCTTGGATCCCCCTCCTACCGGCCTACCTAAATTTGAACACTTTGCACTTATAAATAATCATGTCAGAAACTAGCTAATATATGAAACAAAATATATATCAAATGTAATTCATGTTTATTCATATTCTTCTTTTTTCTTCTTCTTCTTCTTCTTCTTCTACAATAATGGCTATGTTCATTTCTGATACTAAATGATGACCAGTTGATTGTCCAGCTTAATACTACAGGGGAGTAAGTTGCCTGGTTGACAACTGCATGAAAGATATTGATTGTGAAGTGTACAAACAGTTTTTATAAGTTTGCGATTTCTCGATATATGCACGATATGACATTTACTAATGTTAAAAGATATCTTCCATTTCTGTACCCATAATATAATAAACTGTCTAGATCTTCCTGAAGCTGCACTGCATCAATTAAAGCCCTTACAGATCTGTAGATTAGGCAGTCATCTGCAAAAAGACAAACATTTAACTTTACAGATTCAGGCAAGTCATTTATGTTGATCAAAATGAGAAGAAGCCCAAGGACTGACCCCTTGGTTAATCAAAGATCACAGGAGGACTCAACCCGGTACGGAATTAGATCCAACCCGTTGTAGTCTAGAAAATAGTTCTTTAAAATTTTGAAGTGGCCCAATTTAAGTCATCTCTAGTTAGATTGGTCATAATTACCAGGAGCCATGGTGGATGCTGCCCAATCTACAACGACTTGCTGACTGCGAATTACCATAAAACCTTTTATACACGAATATGTATGTAGTACCCGTGATGCTATAGTGGGCTAGTTTAAACAACAGTCTACCGTGGTATACAACATCAAACGCTTTTCTAAAATCCATGATGGCAACATCCGAGTGGCCTCTCTACATGAAAGCAAATATTTCATGACATGAATGAAACCCTAAACTTTGATGAGTTTCATTTGGTAAAGTTTTGATGGGAGGTTAGACTATTCTCTATTCAGAGGAAGATTTGCTGCATATGCATGCACAATATTTACAGACTGCCCCTTCTTATTTTTATTCAAAGATTAATATTGATTTTATTAAATTAATATGTTTCAGTTTTTTACAAAAACTGCTTTCATATTTTTATTTTGTAAATATCTCTTTTTGTGTGCATCGAAACAGTAAATATTTTGATTTTGTGACATTAAAGAACATATCTCCAACTACTTTACCAGCTATTTAAAGAAATAAATGGAGTTGATTTATTTATCACTTGATTTTTATTATAAAAGGTGTTTATGTAATAGAAAGAGCATCGAAACACGAGGCTATCTGATTTGTACGAGGGGACGTAGCCCCCGAGTATTAATCAGATTGCCGAGTTTTTGATGTTCTTTCTCTTTTGTATCGTAGTCAAACATAAAAACACGTTCCATGTTGTCACAATATGAAACCCCGGTAAAAAGTAACCAATAAACGAGCATCTGTATATTATAGTTCTGTCGCTTTCTCTTTCTCTTCCCTAACATTTAGTAAACCCCAGCAAAAATGAGCCAATCAATGGGCATGCTCTGGAGTGCGGGTAACTAATACATGCACTCCAGTTAACGCATGTACATATGTATACGATTTAACTTTGACACATTTTCAACAGAAAGGTCCCCAAACTATAATACAACAATTATCATAATAACAGATGTTTATCAATTAATCACAACCAGAGACATATAATAAGAGTCTCTGTCAGAAACCCTAAACCTTTTAAAATCTTTCATTATTAACTTTTAGATATCAATCAATTTAACACATTTTGAATGTTAGGATTTTCAGGAATATTTATGTCGAATTGAAATATAAAGATAATCTATGTCTCTGATTGTAATGATATTCAATGAATAGATATTGACAAACTTTTCAATACAAATGTATCTTGATTGCATTTTGTAACGTAACACAATTATATTGTTGTTTCATAATTAATCATATTATTTGTAAAAAGATAGAATAAAGAAAATGATAATAAAAAAAATGTTTACACTATTTTCAATAACCCTCATTTTGTTTGAAAGTATTAACAATGATAACAATAATATTGGAGGGGAATAGTGGCCTAGTGGTTAAGGTGTCTGCCTCTCAACCCAGGGATATGGGTTCGAGCTCTAATCGGATAGCGACCATGTTTCTTCATATGACACCGGTTCTGATTGGTTCCATTAATCCAACTCGAAAGTGATTAATATAAATTGCAAGAACTTGTTTCGCAATCGAGCTTAAATAAATATGCTTAAACCATATTTTTTTCAGGGAGTGGGGAGGGGGGGGGGGGGGGGTAGAGATTATACTGTCGTCTGCATTTTCTGTCAGGGGAGGAAATGGTTTTGGGAAGAACCTTCATGAAAGGGGGAGATTAGTCTGTCATTCAGTTCTATGTAGCACCAAGACAGGTGAGTCATGGTAATTTTCAGGCTTTGCTACCTCAGGTGCCCCTTCGTCGAGACTTTTTTTTAAAGTTAACTAACTTTCATATTTTTTTAGGAATAATTTGTCAGGATAACAACTACCGCGTAATTTAGTTCGATGACTTAAATATTTTACAAAGAAAATCGAGCAGACTTCTCGCGAAACACGATATTCGACGAGACAACAATAACCATCCTGTCATGAGAAATGTCACTTTACACATTTTTGTAGTTTTTCTCTTCCTGAATCATATTTAAAGCCTTTCAAGCTGGATTTAAACGTAATGGAACCTGCTGCGGCAGGTTCGAACCGTGTGGTTCGGGTGAATATGATGGAGGGAGTCGGAGCAAGGGTTATCCGGGGTCCTGACTGGAAGTGGGGTAAACAGGATGGGGGAGAGGGTCATATTGGCACTGTAAGAAACTTTGAAAGCCCAGAAGAGGTTGTAGTTGTATGGGACAACGGGACAGCAGCTAACTATAGATGTGCAGGCGCCTATGATCTAAGAATTCTTGATAGTGCACCTACAGGTATTAAATGTTTGACTGCTAACACCGCGCTTTCGCGATATTCTCCCTAAGAAATTGACAAAATTGCACAGTTTTCAAGTGTGTGTGGTAAAATATCGCATATTAATCTTTGAAAAATAGCTTAATTAGAGCCTGACTAAGTCACCTAAGCTTTCTGAACTTTGCCGAGTTTGAACATCATAGCAAAATCAATTTTGTGGCGCATTTCTATTTACCACATGTACAGAACTTACCGCATGTACAGAACTTTTCGTATCACACAGCTTTTGTCAATAACTGAAATCCTTGACATAACTTAGAACTAAATTGATGATAACAGTAACTGCCGATAATTGGCTGCAATTAACACATTTATGTGACATGATATGCAGCTCCATCGAACAAAGTGCCTCTGCAATTCGGCGATGTAAACATTGCTATGAATTGAGCATAATTTATGAGATACTTGTTATGTTTAAAATCTTACACCCAGAATCAGTCTTGCCATATTTGTTAGTAACTGCATGCAACCCCACACCAACCATGCAAATTTACATGCATAAATTAATACACAGCAGGACCACAAGTAAATGTCTGTGAGCATCTAGTTAAAAGTCTAAGCAGCGTCTTTAATACTCATTGAAAAGCAGTTGCACAAATACACATTATACAGATTTAACAGTCGGTAAATTTATTAAAACTGGATATCATTGATTTTTTGGAAGGGAGATTTTTTTTATGAATACTCATTGCATTATATTTCGCATTTAATTTACTCTTGCAGGATTTTGTTTATCTTTTAGGTAAACAATACGCTGCAACACTGTCTTACTAGTACTAAAATGTTAGTGACCTATGTTTTAAATTGAAACATTTTCCTACAAATTCGTCCAAAATATTTTATTTTAAATTTTGGGAAAAAAATTTTGTTTTAAAAAATTAAAATCAAAAAAAATTTTAATGTAAAAAATGTATTGCTATTAAAGCAACATCCAATGAAAACAGTCATTGAAAATGTTATTATAATTTCTTTGAAAAAAACCCTCTCTTTATTTATATAGGTACCAAGAAACAAAGGGGAAACAATGTTTTAATATTTGTAGCAGAAACCAAAAATTTGGAAAAACCGGGAAAGGGGTGAATGTCCCAAATTAAATGATCTGTTTTTCTGTGTGCTCCCATGCGGACAAAAATAAATTTTTTCGACATCGTTTTTACAGGATCAAAAACCCAAAAATAAAAGGGTTTACTTTTATTCTTTAAAAGTTTTGCCCCTAATAGGCTAGAAATTTAAATTTTTAAAGAAAATATATGTTTTCTAATGTTAATCTTTGGAGTAATGGTTATTCATCTGGAGGCCTGGAGCTGTAAAGTTGGTAGGTAGGTTTTTATTAGAGTGACATGATTGTGTTATTAACAATATAGGAAAAATACATTTAACAAATTACAACAACTGGCCACCGTTGGACTTATAAGAAACTTTAAACTATAAACAATTCATAAATAAGATATATAATTAATTCAATAGGAAATGTTAGTTCACATACATGTATATAAAACCAAGCATCCATTACTAAAATACAAGATGAATTATTTTTTTGCTTTATATGATTTTATAAGTAGAATATTTTTGTTTAACAGGATATGTGTTGACTCGAGACGCAAAAGTAAAAAGATCACAGTTCGAGGAATTTTCCCTGGTGCAAGAGTTATTCGAGGTGTAGATTGGCAATGGGAGGACCAAGATGGCGGGAATGGAAGGCGGGGCAAAGTCACAGAAATCCAGGTAGTTCATGAAATATTTGGTAAATTAACAGGAATACCTAGACATAGGTGTAAAGTAATTGAAATACAGGTTTATATATAAATTATATATTTAATGACATCTGGGTAAAGTAACAGAAATACAGGCATATATGTACATAGATTTAATGAAATCTTGGTAAAGTATCTGAAATTTAGGCATCATAGATTTATGAAATCTGCATAAATTAGCAAAAATAAAGACATACTTAGATTAAATGAAATCTTTGTCAGGTAACAGAAATAAAGACAGTAAGACATACATAGATTTCATGAAAACTGAGAAAAGTAACCAAATTACAGGCATTTATTGTACATAGAACAGTTAGGTTTCATGAAATATTGAACCATTTATAACTTAAGTTATACATCAGTGCGTCTTATTTATTAAAAAAATTAGTTAAATGACTTCTGACAATGAATTTTCAACATGTGACTTGATCAAGATTAACTATTAAGTTCATTAGAATTAATGACCATTACTGGAAGTTATTATAGAAAAAAAAACACTAAAAATGTTGGTGTAGAGGCTGATTTCTTGCCACATATTACTTAAGAGATATCAGCCCTTTGTAAGTAAAAATACATGCACATGGCCAATATAGACTAAAGAATTAAAGTATTACAATAATACAATATTGTAAAACATCTAGACCACACATTCTGCTAGTTTTGATTTAATATGTCTTCATCAGAAATGAAAAAAGGCACTAACATTCAATGTACATAAATATATACATGTATGTAGATATTGACTCTGACAAAAACGAAATCATTTAAATGAATTAAGTTAAAATAATTTTGCTTTTCAGGACTGGAGTGCAGCAAGTCCAAGAAGTGCAGCATATGTGCTGTGGGACAATGTAGCCAAGAATCTCTATAGAGTGGGCTTTGAGGGAATGGTAGGTATCATACAAATGAGCTGTGTCATGACAAAACCAACATAATGGGTTTGCGACCAGCATGGATCCAGACCAGCCTGCGCATCCGCGCAGTCTGATCAGGATCCATGCTGTTCGCTATCAGTTTCTTTACTTGTTATAGGGTCTGATAGCGAACAGCATGGATCCTGATCAGACTGCGCGGATGCACAGACTGGTCTGGATCCATGCTGGTCGCAGTTGCACTATGTTGGTTTTGTCGTGACGTGGCTCAAATGTATATGTTAACTTTGCAAAGGCCTGGAAAAGTTTTTTAAACATGTACTTTCAGTTATTATTTAAAATGATCAGTTAAAATCATATACATGTATACTGTTTATATCTGATTAATCTTAAGGCTTACCTTGCTGAATTTTCATAATGGATTTATCCTGCTGTGAATTTGGAACAGTTCATTCAAATTTTAAGGGATTTCAATATAAAAATACAAAAATCTAGCTACCAATATTATAAGAACTATTGGAAGAATGCTAGCTGCAAATTTTTAGAAAGCATGTTGCACAAGTAGTCTTTGGGGGGATAAACCTAGTAAGTAGCAGTTGAATATTATGTTCAGGAATGTTTTATAAACTTTTATTCTGTTTTCTTTATCCATGTCATATTGTGTGTTAGATATCAAAAGAAAATCTTTTGTGAAAACTCCAGATATAACTGTAAAAATATGTTGCAAGTAAGATAGGAATTTTTATTATGCCCCCATTTCGAAGAAAAGGGGGTATATTGCTTTGCACTTGTCGGTCCGTCGGTCTGTCGGTCCGTCGGTCCGTAGACCAAATGGTTTCCGAGTGATAACTAAAGAACCCTTAGGCCTAGGAACTTCAAACTTGGTATGGTGATTGGTCATGACAAGTAGATGACCCCTATTGATTTTGGGGTCAAGGGGTCAAAGGTCAAGGTCACATTGACCTTGTAAGCAAAAACGGTTTCCGATCAATAACTAAAGAACCTTAAGGCCTAGGAACTTCAAACTTGGTATGGTGATTGGTCATGACAAGTAGATGACCCCTATTGATTTTGGGGTCAAGGGGTCAAAGGTCAAGGTCACATTGACCTTGTAAGCAAAAACGGTTTCCGATCAATAACTAAAGAACCTTAAGGCCTAGGAACTTCAAACTTGGTATGGTGATTTGTCATGATCAGTAGATGACCCTATTGATTTTGGGGTCAAGGGGTCAAAGGTCAAGGTCACATTGACCTTGTAAGCAAAAAACGGTTTCCGATCAATAAGTAAAGAACTTAAGGCCTAGGAACTTCAAACTTTGGTATGGTGATTTGGTCATGATCAGTAGATGACCCCTATTTGATTTTGGGGTCAAGGGGTCAAAGGTCAAGGTCACATTGACCTCTTAGGTAAAAAACGGTTTCCGATCAATAACAAAAGAACCCTTAGGCCTAGGAACTTCAAACTTGGTATGGTGATTGGTTTATGACCAGCAGATGACCCCTATTGATTTTGGGGTTAAGTGGTCAAAGGTCAAGGTCACATTGACCTTGTAGGTAAAAACGGTTTCCGATCAATAACGAAAGAACCCTTAGGCCTAGGGACTTCAAACTTGATATGGTGATTGGTCATGATCAGTAGATGACCCCTATTGATTTGGAGTTAAGGGGTCAAAGGTCAAGGTCACATTGACCTTGTAGGTAAAAACGGTTTCCGATCAATAACGAAAGAACCCTTAGGCCTAGGGACTACAACTTGATATGGTGATTGGTCATGATCAGTAGATGACCCCTATTGATTTTGGGGTCAAGGGGTCAAAGGTCAAGGTCACATTGACCTCTTAGGTAAAAACAGTTTCGGATCAATAACTAAAGAACCCTTAGGCCTAGGAACTTCAAACTTGGTATGGTGATTGGTCATGATCAGTAGATGACCCCTATTGATTTTGGGGTCAAAGGGGTCAAAGGTCAAGGTCACATTGACCTCTTAGGTAAAAGCAGTTTTCGATCAATAACTAAAGAACCCTTAGGCCTAGGAACTTCAAACTTGGTATGGTGATTGGTCATGACCAGCAGATGACCCCTACTGATTTTGGGGTTAAGGGGTCAAAGGGAAAGGTCACATTGACCTTGTAGGTAAAAATGCTTTCCGATCAATAACTTAAGAACCTTAGGCCTAGGAACTTCAAACTTGGTATGGTGATTGGTCATGACCAGCAGATGACCTATTGTTTTTAGGGTCAAGGGGTCAAAGGTCATGTAACATTGACCTTGTAGGTAAAAACGGTTTTTCCGATCAATTAACTAAAAAACGCTTAGGCCTAGGAACTTCAAACTTTGTATGATGATTGGTGGTGACCAGCAGATGACCCCTATTGAGTTTTTGGGTCAAGGGGTCAAAGGTCAAGGTCACATCGACCTTGTAAGTAAAAACGGTTTCTGATCAATAACTTAAGAACGGCACTTAGGCCTAGGAACTTCAAACTTGGTATGGTGATTGTTCATGACCAGCAGATTACCCCTTTCGATTTTGGGATCAAGGGGTCAAAGGTCAAGGTCACATTGACCTTGTAAGTAAAAACGGTTTCTGATCAATAACTAAAGAACACTTCGGCCTAGGAACTTCAAACTTGGCATAGTGATTGTCATGATCAGCAGATGACCCCTATTGATTTTGGGGTCAAAGGTCAAGGTCACATTGACCTTGTATGTTAAAAGGGTTTCGGATCAATAATAAAAGAACCCTTAGGCCTAGGAACTTCAAACTTGGCATGGTGATTAGTCATGACCAGCAAATGACCCCTATTGATTTTGGGGTCAAGGGTCAAAGGTCAAGGTCACATTGACCTTGTAAGTAAAAACGGTTTCTGATCAATTAAGTAAAAACGCTTAGGCCTAGGAACTTCAAACTTTGTATGATGATTTGTCTTGACCAGCAGATGACCCCTATTGAGTTTTGGGTCAAGGGGTCAAAGGTCAAGGTCATGACCAGTAGATACTTGATAACCCTTATTAATTGTTTGATCACTGGGTCAGAAGTCATGCATAATTACCTTATCACATGAATAATTGGCTGCTGATAGGGGGCATACATGTTTTACAAACATATCTTGTTTAATTATGTATGTTGTGCCATGCACATCAAAAGTTGATACTACCAGCTAGCGGCTGTTTTTTTATGTTTTATATACAAGTCATAGTCCCCACATCACTACTTAGATAGTTGTATATTGTTTTATATTGTATATCATTATGTGATTTTACAGTCAGACCTCAAGGTTGTTACAGATGCCAAAGGTGGGACAGTGTACCGAGATCATTTACCATGTTTAGGTATGTACTATTTTCAAGTTCATTTCAGCAACTTGTGAAATTTTATTATTCAAGTTCTAAGCATAACAGTAATATCAGAAAGGAAGGTTAATATTAATTTTATATGGAATCCATACAAAATTAAAGTAGCTCCACTTATGTCCAAAAGAATAAAAAAGACATAAAGAGGAACATGTGAATAGAAAGATATGTAAAAGAGAATTAGGAAATATACTCTAATAAATTTAAAATCTTATTTGTCTGGTATTAATAGCCCAATTAGAGTGAAAAGTCTTCAATTCAGGGTTATTTTTCATGATTAGAATAATGATTCTGAAAAAAAGTGAGCAAACGAGATGAAATTTTTGCACAAAAGTTATTTGTCAAGACTTATATCATTTTAACAAATGGAACATTAATTCCGAAAATTTATTTCCAGCCGGGTCATGCCAAAAAACCTTGGTTGAGTCCCTTTAATATTCTGTTCATTACTTTCCTTGAAAATATAAAGAAATACATATATATGTATTTGTTTAACCCATCTACTTTACTGCACACCTGAATTTGTACTGTGTAATATCATACAGCAATACTTTCAAAATTAATATTGATATTTGAAGCTTATCCATTCCTGTCCACTATTTACAGTTTGCAAAAATGGCATGGCACGACCGTGCATACTATGTGCAAATGAGTCATTCGTATGCCACTTTTCTGCCACTGATATTAAGTTGATGTGATTAAACATTTTGAGCTCTTTTGCAAAAGAAACTGTTGTATAGCATTAGTTATGTTCAAACATCTTTCATTCTTTTGATTAAAAATTGACAAAAAAGCCAATGACAATACTCTTAGAAAAAGAATTTTTAGATATTTTGAAAATTGTTGAACAACATTCACCAAGCAGTAGTGTACTTGATGTTTGACAATGCACTACATGTCCACGTTCTTTTCTAAAGACCATATATATTTTTAACACATTTAAAAGGTTTTGTAATTAGAAAGTGGTGGAAACCATGTTAAAATAGTTAATATCAATAGCTATTTTATGGGAATAAGAGGCATTATGTTTCAAATACTTAAAATATATTAAAATCTTAAAGCATGTTTGTTAAAGGGACTCTACTGAGAATATTTTTGACATGACACAAATAGAAATATTTTTCTGAGATTTCTGCATTATTTAGTGAAGGGCTGGACTAATAAATTGTGTGCAAATTTTCAGATCATTCTTTCTATCTGTTTTTCCAGAATCGTCTTCAATATTGTGCAAAATGACCCAAAATGAAAAGTGTTACAATGCTTTTCACTCAAATCGGGTGAAGAATCTCACAAAAATGATTTTCAATTTCTTTCTGAGCATGTTTGTTATTGTTCAAACTTTGCATATTTTTTTTCCCTCTTGATTTTTGTAAGAATTTCAAATTCTATGTTTTGAAGCTTTTTAGGTCTCAGTGGAGCTCCTTTAAAGGGACTCCACTGAGGTCCAAAAGCCTTAAAAGATAACATTTGAATTTCTTACATTGATCAACGTTGGCACTCAAAACAGAAAGATATGTAAACCATAATCAAGAAATATACATGGAAATTTATTGAAAATGTTTTTTTGTGTGCTATTCTAAGCCTGAATTGAGTCAAAAATGGTTTTCAATTTTGGGACATTTTCAAAATTAGAATAATTGTTCTGAAAAAATGGAGTAAGCGAATGATCTGAAATTTTGCACACAGGTTATTTGTCTAGACCTACATCAAATGGAACATTTATCTTGGAAAATTATTTCCAGTCCCTTCATCTCTGACATATTCAGGCCCTAAACTATGGAACAATATCCCTCATTCTATTCGTAAATCTGAAACTATTAGAAAATTCCAAGCTTCCTATATCAGTTGGAATTTCACATAAGTACCTTGGTCTTGCATAGATTAAGTATTAAGTAATATATGTACATGCATTGTGTTTTGAATATGTATTTTGTTTGAATGTACATTGTTTTTGTTGTGTTTTCATGTATATATTATGCATTTTTGTCTTCATGTATGTTATTTGAAAATTTTGCTGTATAACCATTATGTAAATTATGTATATTTTATGTATATTTATGTTTTGAGGCCCACATGGAAGATTGGGAAACCAAATGTGTAGCCTCAGTAAATAAAGACTTTACTTACTTACTTACTTACTTCATGTCAAAAAAACCTCAGTTGAGTCCCTTTAATATCATTGAATCACTATACTTACAGGTGAACAAGGTCCAGGGTCAAGGTCAGGTCCTGGTGGTCTGGCTATTGGTGACCAGGTTAATGTAGATTTAGACTTTGAAATAGTTCAGTCTCTCCAACATGGTCATGGTGGATGGGCAGATGGAATGTTTGAAGTAAGTTTGCTTTCTTGCTCATATTTGATGTCTGAAAATACTGATAATTGCTATACAGTCTTTTTTTTTAAAGTAAAAGAGGCATTTAATTGAATACACGGAGAAGATGTTATGTTTAATACTCTAGATACTACAGGTAAACACAGTACGAATACTGTCATTGTATCTGCTGTCGTAAAAAAAAATTTAAGTAAAAACAAACAAAACAAAACTTGGGACAAATTTGTAGGAAAATAACTGTTGGTAAAATTAAGTTTTCCAATAAATACTAAAAAAACCTCTTTACCTAGTATATTGTATAACTAAATTTTATCATATATTACAGTGTTTAGGACAGACTGGGACAGTGGTTGGTATTGATGAAGATCATGATATTGTTGTATCATATTCTAGTGGAAATAGGTGAGACAATCATTCTTGTATCACAGGTTGGCAGTATCAATTGTTGTTTTTCTGCAAATTTTAAGCCAATATATTTGGCTGTCCTTTCCTCAGATGTAAATATGAGGCAGTATTCTACTATCTTTTTCTGAGATGTAGAGGAAATAATTTCCCTCTCAGCTGAAGCTTACAAAACTCTTCGTCTTTATATGTGCTTGTCAACTACCATTATCTGCAATTCTTTTAAAGAACATGTACTCCTAAACCACAATGTGGATTTTGACCAAACTTCATAGAAATAAACCTAAGTAGGTCTTCCCTTCTACAAAAGAATAAAGTGTACTTGATGAACTTAAAGCTGCACGCCTCCAGATGAGCCAAAATATTTCAAGAAAAACAATTTTGAGAAAAATGTTCTAAAATTTTAAGAAAGGTAAAAACATATAAGATCCAATTAATATTTTACATGTTATTTAATGTGCAGTATTTTATCACCATATTTCTACTGGGTTACTAATGCAGTAAGGGCTTTATTGCATATGTTGACCCCTTTTAGTAATTTTCTTGGATTGTAAGTGCCGATGGCAATATGTAAATTTCCTTATTTTTTCACCTCAAAATATTTTACTCAAATAAATACATTTCCAAAATTTTCATGAAAACTAACATAAATCTGGAGGCGTGCTGCTTTAAATATTTTGCGATGATATCTTCGAAGATTAAAATGGACAGTTTATAAGCAATATTTCAGAATTTAAAAGAAATAAGATGTGTCAATTTATTAAGAAGTATTACCTCCCTTACATTATCTATGTTATTTAAGAGTTTAAAAAATCTAAGACCTCATGAAGGTTAAGTAAGTTCAAATAGTCTCATATAAAAAATTGCAGGTCTGATTTTTTTTTTAGAAGAAAAAAAAGAGAGTTTTATGTGTGATAATTTGAATGGTACATAGATATTTTTGTAAACTTTGGCTTTCAGTTGTCATTTGATTAAAGTTGCTTGCTACAAATCATTTGCAGCATTTAGTTGTGTACTTGAATCTTGCCACTGCCCAGGGATGCCATATAGGCTGGTTTATTGAATGGCGGATGGTTCCACTTAGGTACTCATTCCTATCTGAAATAATGCTCAAAGAGGAATCTACTGTCTTTATCAGGCCTCATGTTTATAAAACTATTTTCTGAGCTCTGTCTCAAATTTCTGGATTTTTATTGGCCAGTGTTTATTGTGCGCATATTTCTTACCAATTACTTACAGTACCTGAGATGTGAGTCTGAGCTGAGAAAACTCCCTGGTCAATTAATATTTTTTCAAAACTCGAAATAAAAAATGTGTATAGAATTATATAATGTCTACCATTCCTTCAAAGTACTTTTATATCATTTTAGATGGACGTTTAACCCGGCTGTATTGACCAAAGTGAGCACGCCTAGTAGTACAAACTCGGCTACTAGCGAGAACGGCACTAACCTCGGAGCCCACGTGGAGTAGGGCTCGACACGCCACTCCACCAGTTCGGCAGTAGGAGATCTTGTACAGATATGCTGAACGATGTGGAGAGAATTAAAGTCCTCAACGAGGCATGGAGAGTGGGCCGAAAGCTATGATGCCTGTAAGTGGATGTTAAATCTTTTCTTTCTATTTAACATGCATGTTTGTGTTGATTGAATTCAACACAGGAGGTTGCTGAGGAAGACATTAATTTAGAAGTTTAATTTTTAATTTCCCCCTTTTTTTTTTTTTTTTTTTTCCCCCCTTTTTTTTCCCCTTTTTGGTTTTTTCCCCCCAAAGGGTTTAAAATTTTTTAAATTTTCCCTTTTTAAAAAACCCGGAAAACCCGGGGCCCTTTTTTTTTTTTTTTAAACCTTTTCGGGGTTTTTTTTTTCCCCGGAAAAAAACCTTTTTTTCCTTTAAAAAAAAAACCCCGGGGGTTTTTTTTTAAAAAACCTCCCGGTTTTTTTTTTCCCAAAAAAAAAAGGGGGGGGAAAAAATTTTCCTTTTTTAAAAAAAAAAAAAAATTTTTTTTTAAAAAAAACCCCGGGTTTAAAAAAGGGGGAAGACATTATTTATTTCTTTTTTTTTTAAACCGGGGAAGTTTTTTTTTTTTTTTTAAAAAAATTTTTTTTAAAATTTTTTTTAAAAAAAAAACCCCCCAAAAAAAAAAAATTTTTAATTTTAAAAAAAAAAAAAAAAACCCCCCAAAAAAAAGGCCCCCCTGGGAAGACATTATTTATTTTTTAAAAAAAACCCGGGGGGGAAAAACCCCCCCCCCGGGGGGAAGTTTTTAATTTTTTAAAAAAAAAAAAAAAAAAAAAGGGGAAAAGGGGAAGACTTTTTTTTTTTGGGGGGGTTTTTAAAAAATTTTTTTTAAAATTTTTTAAAAATTTAAAAATTTTTTTTAAAAAAAAAAATTTTTAAAAAAAAAAAATTTTTTTTTAAAAAAAAAAAAATTTTTTTTTTTTTTTTTTAAAAAAAAATTTTTTTTTTTTTGAAAAAAAATTATTTATTTTTGTTTTTAAAGGGAAGAAAAATTTTTTAAATTTTTTTTGGGGGGGGGGGGGGGGGTTTTTTTAAGGGGGGTTTTTTTGGCCCCTTTTTTTTTCCCTGATTTTTGGGTTTTTTTTTTATTTTTTTAAAAGGGTTTAAAAAAAAAAAGAAACCCCCCCTTTCCAAAAAAAAAGGTCTTTTAAAAAGTTGGGCCTTTAAAAAAAAAAATTTTAAAAATTTTTTTTTAAAATTTTTTTTTTAATTTTTTTAAAAAAAGGGGGGGGTTTTTTTAAAAAAAATTTTTTTTTTTTTTTTTTAAAAAAAATTGAATAAAAGGGGTTTTTTATTAAAAAAATTTTTTTAAAAATTTTTTTTAAAGGGAAAAGGGGGGGGGCCCCCCCTTTTAAATTTTTTTTTAAAAAAAAAATTTTTTTCCTTTTTTAAATTTTGGGGGGTTTTTTAAAAAAAAAGGGGGGAAAAACATTTAGCGGGGTTTTTTTTAAATTTTAAAACCATGGTTCATTTAAAACTTTTAAATGTATAATAAAGGGAAAGTTTTAAAAAAATGAAACCGCCCTTTACGACAAAAACCCAAAATAAAGGGTTTCCCACCCGCATGGATTTCCCGAAAAAGCCTGAAGGGAGTCTGATCAATCCATGCTGTTCGCCTTTTCAAACCCTATTACAAAAAGGGTTTTTAAGCGAACAGCTGGATCCTTTATCAGGGCTGCCGGGGTGCCCCAGGCTGGTCTTGGGTTTCCCTGCTGGGCGCAAAAACCCCCTTTTTGTTGGTTTTGTTTTGACCGGCTCCTATATGTAACCGGGGGGGTCTATAAAATTTTGCAGGGGATTTTAAACCTTTTTCTAAATTTTCTAGTTCTGGGATTTTTTTGGGTTATTTTTAGCCGTTTTTCGGCCCCTATTCCCCAAAAAAAAAATTTTGAACTGTAATTTTTTATTTTTCCAATCCACAGGAAAAAAAATTTCCCCAAAAAGAAAGTTCAAAATAAATATTGAATTAAAAAAAATTTTAAAATCCCATGAAAAAAAATGCTTTTTTCACTGTTATTAGTGGGTTTTAAAAGTTTTGAAGATTTCCCCTTCTAGACAGGATTGTTTGCATTCATTTTTTCTCGCAAACTTTTTATTCATTTATTTTCTCCCAATTTTTAGAAAACATCGCTTTTAAATTCCCTATTCCCCGGGGATTGGTCATGTTTTTCCCCAAAAACCTGGAAAAAAGGGCCTGTAGTTAAACATCTGATTTAGGTATAACTGTAAATTGGTTAAAAAACCATTTGTCAACCTTGGGGGTTGGGGTAAAAGGGTTTTTGATTTCCTTTTTTTCTATTTAGTTTTTAGTCCTTTGGGAGGGTGTGGGGAAGCAAAGCTTTATTTTAAAGGGTTTTTTTTTTCTTTTTCATTTTTCCAGCAAGTGTTAAATTTTCATTTGTAGCATCTGCTTTGGGATTCTTTTTTCCAAACCAAATTAAAGCTGGAAGAGATCATATAATTTTATTTTAGACGCCAAAATTTAAAAATTGTTAAAAAAAAAAACAGTTTTGCATTTTTTAAAGAAAATTTTTATAAAATAAGCACTTTCCATTTAACTAAATAGCCATGCAGAAGGAAAAATTGCCAAATTAAAAATTTTTTTCATTTTTTTTTCAGAAAAAGGGGGGGAAATTTTTTTTAAAAACTTTATGTCTTTACTAAAGATAAAAAAAAGTTTATTAAAAAAAGGGCTTTTGTTTAAATTTCCCCACCCAATTTTTTATTTGCGTCCTTTTTTCGGACTTGGCACACTTTAGGACATTTTCCCTTTAAAAGCACCCCATTTGTTATTTTAAATTTTTATTTTTTAAAAAAGGGACTTGTTTTTATAATACAGTTTTTTTTTAAAAAAAAATTTTTTGTTTTTGAAAAAGCTTTTGATATTACTTTGTTATAATAATGCCCGCAGTTTCAAAATCTGAACTATTGATTTATATAAAATAAACATTG